AATAATCAGGTTGCCAAGAAGGCTAGCCTGGGGAGGGCGAGGTTCAAAGTCTGCTCCTGGAAAGACAGACACACGCCGGCGTTTCTCCTGCAAAAGGCTATGGCTTCATTCAAGTATTTTCCTTCAAAATCAGGCCAGCACAAATCCCCGCCTGCAGAATATATACTCTGTGCCCTCCCTCAATGGGCTAGGTAATCCCTTGAATTAAGATTTCTTCTTTTTCCTGAGGGTTTTTATTTAACTGTTCTTAATAAATGAGAGCATTTAGGCACGTTTTGTTCTGCAGCCCTTGCTGGGACCAAAATTGCTACATTTGCTGAAACGCCGTTCCAGATGGCGTGTCCCCCACCCAGCTCCCTCCCCAAAAGGGCTTTTCTGCTTCTGGCTGCCTCTCTTTCGCTGCTGCTTGGCTGGGACAGAGGGGCAGCCGCTGCGGGACCTGGACAGCTCCCTTGCAGAGCCACAAAGCCAGGCAGGAGGAGGCCTGGCTGGCTGGCTGGCTGGCTGGCTGGCTGGTTGGCTGGCTGTCGCAATGGAGCCCCTCCATACATTTGTAGCAGCAGCAGCGGCAGTCTCTGGACTTGAACCCCCTGCCCTCTCACCTCAGGGTCTGATATGACTCCTCTCTCTCTCTCTCTTCCCCCACAACTCCCTGCCCCCACTCTCTTTTCTTCCGGCTCCTCTATCAAGCAGTGATGTACTCAGGCTGGCTGTGAATAAATGTAAGTGACCCCCACCCAGCCACCCCCACTTCCCTGAGCCTTCTGCAACTGCTGGAGAGGGAGAGAGAGAGAATGAGAAAAAGAGAGAGGAGGAATGAGAGAGAAGAAAGTGAGGGAGAGAGAGAGAGCAAGCAAATGGCCCCGACTTCCTCCCAGGTAATTAAAGGGTCTGTTTTCAAGGTTGCGTGGGTAAAAGACAATTTGGCCTAATGAAGCATTGATCGGCCAGCACTAAAGGTAGAAAAAGAGATGCTGACTCTCATCCATTCAAAGGTACCTTTCACTGCTGTAAAGCAGAGAACCGGGGATTGTTCTGGCTCAGCTGTCATTGCCTATGACCTGCTTTAGGGGGGGAAAGATGAGAATTTGCTTTAAATTTATTTCGATTCTGTAATGGCGCCGAGGTATATTATATGTCAGACTGGGTACGATTATTAATCAGTGGGAAATTATATTTGCACGTGTGCGTGTGTGTGCTCTTCTCTCCACCCCCTTCCCCTTTTCTTCCCCCTTTTCTGCTTCTACCGAATATTGCGTCCTTCATTATTCACATTAAGACCCCCACCAATCAGCTCTTCGGATGCTGAATGCGTGAGGTCAGTTATGGAGATGCAGGAAATTACTGCGGATTGGTGGGGACATTTTTGTCAATTTGTAAGCAAAAGCCGGCGTTATTGCAAGGTTTTCATCACTGTCGATTTGTGCCGGTACAAGATATCTCAAAACAAAACCCTCCAAGGCACTGATGGCGGACGAGGCAAAATATCTGAGCAGAAATCTTTAGGCGCCGATATTAATGTTCCGGCAATCAGAGAGAGGAAGTGTGTAATTTTTCCACTTGAGACCAATCCAGTTCTAAGCCAAAAGCCCTAAAACCTGCCTCCGGTGGCATTTAAGCCTCATCCCAGCCAGGTTCTGGAGCTGGCAGGCTGGCGGACAGCGGCCTCCGTACATTCCCCTTAGCTGCTGGCCACCCTGACCCCTCTGACCCCTGAATTATTTTATTCACCAAAGGACCAAGTGATCATAAATGGGGGAATGGGAGGAAAATGGGGTATAGCAAATTTGGGTGAGGGAGGCAGGAGGGGGACCTGTACTGATTGCGGGACAAGCTGAGTCTTCTCCAGCGAGCGTTTGCTCCAAACCGGGCACTGCTGCCGGGTCTTGCGAGAGGCCCCTGGGCTCAACAATGGAGCGTCCCTTCAGAGCACCAAACACAAAGGGGATTTGCTCTCACGCTGTCCGCATTGTGCAGCTCCTCTCGGTCTAAACGGGGCCGCTTTTTGCCCTGATTAAGACGAGGAGGGGAAAGGGAAACCGAGCCCCGCATCTTTTCTTCTGCAATACAGATGCCGCGTTTCTCCCTCTCCCTCACGCACGGTGCAGTTGCCTGCTCTTTCTAAGGTGCCTTCTGCAGCCCATCCTCATCCCGACTGTTGCATTTCGTAGTCTCTTTAGGTGAGCATCACCCCTCTGCCACCCTAACACTAAAAAATAAATAAATAAAATGGAAGGGGGTTCAGAGGAGAGGGCAGGAAGGTGGACAAAGGACAGAGAAGCCAGTTAGGAAAGAGGCCGTGGGAGGCAGCTCACATACAACACATTTTGTCATGTGTGGGTCCTTCTCTTTTGGGAACAGTGCTGCTCTAACGTGTAGGATTTCACAGATGTGCAAAGTGCTGCTCTCTCTTCCTCCGTTGTCCCCCTCCCCATTCTAAGCATCCTTCAAAATGGCAAAACTGTGGCTCCCCCGATTGTGTTTGCACAAGGAGGAGATGCTGCCGGGAGGCCGGCGGAAGGCAAGCGGCTCCGAGCTCCCGGAACTGATGGAGACAAAGGCCACTTCCCTGTCACCTTCGCCCGGCTTTTCAAAAGAGCATCCCCCGAAACACAAAGCGTCAGCGGGAAATGGCAATTTTATGAATCCTAATCAATCAAAGGGCTTATTAACTCAATGTGAAGCCAGATTAAAATCTTTAATTATAAATCGTGCTGAAAGGAAAAACAAAATGTACTTATGGTACATTGAAAATTCCGGATATTAACATTGTTGTTATTATCTCTGGCAATATTAAATCCCCCCTCCCTGCCTGCCTTGCAACGGGCCCACCTTCCTCTTATTCCAAAGAACAAGACGGCAGAGCAAAACCTCATTTTTCTTTTCTTTTCTCTCCCCCCTTCCTCCCAAGGCTTATTAAAATGTATTCTTTTCTATTGCACACCAGGCAGTTTGCAGGGAAGCTGGGGGTGGGGAGCAGGGGGGGCATTCAGGAAACCCCATTACAGCTGCACAGTGAGTGGCAAGAGGCCGAGGAGGCTCTGCTGCTTTATTAAGGGAGGCGAGTTAGAGTTACGGGGCTGGTGGGGTGGGTGGGGGTGATGCAATCAAATGTGAAGCATTTTCTGCTAATGAAAGAGGCATGCATGTCTGTGCAAGGGGGTGTGATTGGCAGGGCTGCAGATTGGGAGCCACAGGAAGGGCCTTACCTCAAAGCCACGGTGTGAGAAAAGGCAAGGGGTGCTATTTTCATCAGGCAGACATTTGGGAAATGACCACAGCAAATTTAATCACAGTTGGAACAGGGCGGGGGGTGGGGAGAGAGAGAGAGCACCAGAGTCGCATGTTTTATTTATTTGTTCAAAGTCACGGTCATCCTATTGTGTGTTCCTCTCTCATTCTGTCATTTCACACACACACACACACACACACACACACACACACCCCTCCTCCCTATTTCCATTGTTAACGCAAGGCACAGGAAAAAATATATATAACCCCCCTCCTTTTGGGGGGAAGACAATCCAGGAGAGGCCAAAGGTTTGGCCAGAGAGAGAGCAAAATGGGGGCTTTTCATATTCAAATCATAAAAGCAAAATGCATTCTACATTGTGATGCTAAAACCTGCATCTTTCATGCATCTGCTTGACAGGCTGCTTGCCTTGTTCCCTTGTCTTCATCCCCTCTCTGTTTTGTGCAATATAGCCTTTTTAAATGGAGGGGGGAACTGCCATCTAAGCCCCTTGCAAGGGTCTGATTTGCAGCGGGTGAGGAGGCATTCTTAGTGCTAATCAAAACAAATAGGAGAAAAGAAAACCCAGGGAGCTCACCGGAGGCAGCCTCCCCTCCCTCCTCGCTTCCTTCTGTACATAGTTCCTGCTTCTGCGCTCCAGGTCTCCTCCTCCGATTTATTCCTAAAGCTGCCCCATGCCCTGAAATCTGTTGTCAATGTACTGCTCTCTGCTGAAGCCCGGTGGAGGCACACAGTCGCCAGGAAGGCAAGAGGATGTGGGCCTGGGGAGGGTGAACTGGCCCTGTGTGTGGCTTCTTTCCCCCATCCCACCCCACGCCTAGAAAATATGTCATAACACATTTTAATATTTTCCTAATTGTTTGAGAATTGCTTCCAATCCTCACCCTGTAAAAAAAAAACCAACAACCTGGTTTAGGACCAAATTTGAGACTATCACTAGTTTGGGCTATTTTCTTGCCTGTGTACTGCAATCCACCTGAAATGTGCACTTTGTCCCTTGCCCAGGATAGGTCATGCTGTCTGCTGAAGGCAGGCAAAGCACCTGCACCCATTGGGGTCCCTCTATAGGGTCGCAAGCACCTGTTTCACGTAAGCAGCAAAGATGTAGGAATTGTGGCCGCAGTGGGAGGGAGAGGCTTTTATATTGCAAAGCCAGCACAATTGCATACTTTAGTTCCCTGGTCTTTAAATGACAGGCAGACCCATATTCAAGTGGACCCTTGTATGCTTCATTCATAAGAGAAGGAATTTCATATTCATAAGAGAAAAATGCAGGTTGCTAACAACTGATCAGATCCCCCCCCCCCCGCTTCAAGATACATGGCATATACTTTACAAACCCCCCCACTCCAATGCACCCCATTCTGTAAAAACCTTAATTGCACCAACTCTTTTGAAGAAGAAAATGCAGGACACCTAATCTAGAAAGCAACCTAGAAGGAAGTAAAAGCTCCTTCCAACCATTTTCAGGAGGGAAAATCCTTTTGTGTCTAAACTTGGTTTATCTTTGCTTTCCAGTACTTTAGAACTAGCTGGTTAGATGGCCGATAGATAATAGACAGACACATGCCACTGTATTTCTATATTTAAAAATCCATTTAATTGAGTTCTAAATAATTATCCTATTTAAGCATTTTCTAAACATCTTTAGGAAAATTTGTAACAGATTTGTGTACAGCTAAATTAATATATTGGAACCTTAAGAAAGGAATCAAATATTTAAACCATGCATATATCTCTCGGAGATCCCACACATATTCAAACCAATTCATATATGAAACATTTGCTAAAATACTAGCTTAAATATCAAAATTATTTGGCTCTTTTTCTCTGCAATTTATTTCCACGTTCTTTCCTCATAGGATGTTGGGTTTAGAAACATGTTTGATGCCTGTCAGCATATTTAAAACAAGGCTTCCATGCAGTTATTTTTCTTAAACTTTATTTCATAATATATACATTTTTTAGAGAAAACTGTTTCAATTATCTCTTGAAATCCCTTGCCAAGAAGGGATTACATTTTTGTATGAATTTTACCCAAAATATTAAATGTGCAGGATCAGCAGAGAGAGGAGAACAGAGGAGGGAAATATTCTATTTTCAAATTTAGGTGCAAAAAACAAAATAGAAAATAAATACTGTGCAACAAAAATATTCAAGAGAGAATTGATACAGCTATCTGACAATTAATAAAATTTGTATGAGAAATGAAATTATTATTACTGTACAGTGTGGAATAGCAAGGAACAAACTTACAGGTATACGCTTTGAACAGTTCTCCATAAGGAAACAGCTGCTCCTATCCTGGTGGGGGAAAGGAAAATACTTCAAATGTAATTTCTTAAAGAAGGAGGGAAAGGGGGGAACAAAAAAAAACCTATTTTTTATGGGGGGAAATTTAAATGCACTGTTAAAAGGTAATAATAAAATGTGATGATGATGATGATGATGATGATTATTATTATTATTAGTGTGTACTGCTTCAATACCTCCTGCTACACCTTTTCTGCTTTACACACACACAACACACATATTCAGATGAGCAGCCGAAGGAACACACACACACCCCCAGCCGTTCCAGGGGACAAAAGGGGGAACAGCCGAGTGAGTGCCGCCAAACAGTTTAATCTGGATTAATCTTGCACTACATTGACTCCCTAAACCTCACATTTTCGTTATGCAAAAGCCAATTGGATTTGCCTGCCCTCGGGCTCCTTCGGTCTGGAGTCTCCAGGTTCAGACCCAACCATTTATCTTGATCGTTTCCAAGCTACTTGGACAGAAGGAGCGGGAGGGGGGCGGAGGGGGGAGGCGATTGTTTCGTTTGTTGTCAGAGGGCATTGATCCGCCCTTCTGTCTGCTGGTCACCGAGGGGAGGGCAGCCCCCGGAGGAGCCCTTCCAGGCTCGGCCAGGTCAGCAGAGAGAGAGTCCTATTGAGCCATGACCCAAATGAGCGCTCATTGAAGGAAACGGGGATTGGCGTCGGGATCGTTCGGAGACACCCTCCGTAACACTTAAACAAGTCCACTCTGTTAATGCCGGGTCACCAGGGACCCATCAAGACCTCTCTCCTGACCATTAGACCCTTTGATGGAGTGGACGATAAACTTCCCAGGACAGCTCGGACACTGGACTTGAACGTGGCTGCAGGACGAGGCCTGCCTGGGATGGCACAGATGGCTGCTGACTGCCCCCTGCCCCGGTGGGGGGGGGGTGACTATATGTCTCGGGACTGGAGATTAGGCAGAGCCAAAGCAAAGCCACGTGGCTGGCACAGGCCCCCTGGAAATCAAGGCTGCAAACGCAGCCAAATTCCAGAGGCTGCCGGCTCTCCCCCGCCCCCCCGCCGCCAACAACTGCCTTTGCCGTTGCAATCTCCGTTCCCCCAGCCAGATCCAAGGCCGGGCATTTGGGTATCTTTTGGCTGCTGTTGCTTCTATTCTGCGTGAAGGGAGGAGGAGGAAGGCAAATTCTTTCTCTTTCAGAGGAAAAAAATAATAATAAATCTGAGACCCATCAACTGGTTTGGGGGACACGATAATGTCCAGGCAGTGCCTAAGAGAGAATTGGTTAAAATGTTAAAATCCTAATTGTTACAATTACAAAAGGTGACGTTTATAGCAGTCGGCACAGCAGAACAAATACAATACTCTAATTAGTCCAAAATAATAATAAAAATGCAGCAGGGACTATCTGACCGTTTTGGTGTTTTAATCCATGTACTGATATATTAGTATTTGCGCAGATTCTTCCCAGGTGCTCACTGAGATTTGCTGTTTCAATTTTTCCACAAGCCAAAAGGATGCTACTTTTTTTTTTTTTTTTTTTGCAGAGTACTTGCTTGAATTATCAAGCTTTTATCCTAGTTTTACCACCTTGCCTCCTCCTCTCTGGAGAATTGACTGATTCTGTGTTAATACAGGAAATGACACCAAATTTTGCAGAGACCACACTAGGAGAAATTGTCATTTCTTGCAAAGCTCTTCTGAAACATTTTCCCTCAAAGTAATGAATATTACATTGATTTGCAACGAATATTTAAGTAATTAGCAGAAACAGTCACTAATAAATGGCTAAGGAATTTGGCAAAATTCACTGGAAAATGAATCTGGCCTTTATTTAAAATATTTCATGAATAAATAGCTGCAGGATATTATTTTTTACCTAGCATGTAACTAATGGTGGCAAGGCAAAAGAAAATGTCAGAATAATTCTGATTATTTAAACATCCCTCTCCCAGTCAAACCTGAAGAGCTTTTGACTGAAGAAACAGCCGTGTCCTCACTAAGGCAGCTTGTAACCTTTCCAACTTGTTCAAATTTAGGCTGTTTTAAATGAGCCACTTTCAGCGTGACACAATGGTGCCTCTCCCCCCTTTTGTGTGCTGAATGCACCGTGGTTACTCAGCGATGACAAGGAAATGGCATTTCCCCAGAATTCAAAACATGCAATATTTTGTTACTGGGGAAATGTTAACACCTCTTCCTCCCCCATCCCAAACCCAGCACACCCTATTGCAACGCTCTGGTCAGCTGTATGACAGTCACATTTGTGACAAGCCCCCCACCCCACAAGAAAACCCATTCCTGTCTCATTTAGTGATTCTCCCCCTCCCAATTTACATTGGGTTAGTTGCGCTTCGTAGCCCTTGGAATCAACGGTGCTGTAAATTGTGGTCAACTTATCCCCCACTTTTCAATGAGACCAAAGTTCATCTAACTCAGCCTCGATCCAAATCATTATTTTCGGCATTTTCGCCAGAGCTCCCTCCTCCTAAGCCACGGGTCAAGTTGCAATGACGAAAACAAGCAGAAAACCGCTGGACACCAGCAAGTCACCCCCCCCCCCGTGACAGCAGCCGGGTTTTTCCACGAATCTTTTGCATTTCCTTGATTTAAATGCAATTTTTCAGAGCCTGAGAGCTGCCTCTCCTCAGCATGGGAACTCTGCCTCGCTGAATGAAAGGAAGAAAGGCTCAAACCCCCCCGGTCCACTGAACACTCAGAAACAAACGCACAGGCTGCCGTAACCATGTGCTTGGCAGACGTGGGGGTATCACACCGCAAGAGTGTGTGGCTATTAAAGTGCTCGGAAGCGAAGGTGTTGCCTTTCCCTGCCCTGTGGAGAGGGCTGTGGCTTTCCAAGGAATGCACCCCCAGCGGAAAGAAACCTTTCATGCCTGCCATTCAAGTTCCAGCACTTTGCAAAGTGATCTCTCTCACTTTCGCAAATGTCTCGAACCAAGAATCTGGTAATGCCTCTTCGATGGCATCATCACTTCCGACGCTTTTATCCTGCAATGCGAATGATAATCAGGCTGATAGGCAAAGCAAAGCACCCCCTAATCCCGCCCTCTCCCCAGCGAATTGTTCCTCTGGGCTAATGCATTCCCATTCCCATGGCTGATGTCTGTCTGTCTCTCTGTGTACCCATGCAGACTTTTGCAGAGAGAACAGGTGATTAAGAACTTTATCATACGAAAAGGAAAAGCCAGAGGCAGGCGGAGCGCGCGCGGGGCGGGGGCGATCAGGAACAGAAAGAACAAACGCAGCCCCACTAGATCGGAAGTCCCTTTTGTAAAGTCATCTCTTTGTAGGGTAAAATCCAGCAACCTCAGCGATCCAACAAGCTGTGACTCTGCAGCAGGACCCCTCCCCCCAAACAACCTCTCCCGCTTTTGTACATTGCAGTTCCCTATGATGTCCAAGGAACTGCACAGCAGGAGATAATACAGATAAATCTTTACGTCGAGCAATCATTAACAGAGTACAAAGTTGCTACCACTGTACTTGTCACTGTTTAGAGAGATATTTTTTTTTGCCTAAAAGCACATTTTACACCCTGAAATATACCTTGGCATAACAAACCTGAAGGATTCATTCACAGCAAATAATGGAAATTTTCTCTTCTTAGAGTAAAAATATAAAATATATATTGCCAGATTTTTTTAAGTGCATTACTATTTAAAATGTTCATAAGTTGCCTCCTCTCCAAAATGAAAGTGACTTTAACATATACCCCCATACAGGTATATAAAATCTATGCACTGTGTCCCCCTGCAGATCTGCAGATAGGCAGAATTTGTCCAAGTGGCACAGGTGGCACTTACAAATGCCCTCATCCTACAGCCCGGTTTCAGGCTCCTGGAACAAGCTTCAAGCCAAAGCACCTTCTTGAACTCTGGGAACTTTGTGGCAGGGATCAGGTACAGAGGGTAAATAGTACAATGGGATTGTGTACATTTGAGTTCATTTCTGGAAGTGGCTTTTTCCTGAGATTTATTAGCACTCGTGGAAACTGGGCATTTTCTGTTTTGTTTCATTGCTTGTCACATCTCTTTCGCTCCCAACATAATGCACTTTGAGTGCTCTGATAGCACATAGAACACTGCCAAACCAATGCAAGAAAATCTCTCTTTGCAATCTGAGTGAATTCCGGAAAGGCTTTTAGTCACGCTTACACATACAACTGCACCAGGTTCTGCAAGGTGACACTAGACAATCATTTAAGATAGCCTTTCCCAACCTGGTTCCTTCCAGAGATTTTGGACTACAAACTCCAGCACCCCAAAACAGAATGACCATATGATGCTGGGTTGGGGAAAGTTGCTTTCAGGCACCCTGGAGTAGGTAATGTGCGACTGCTTAAATGTCAGGCATGGAAAAAGCTACGTCTGAGTTTAGAAATAACACAGAGAAAAGTAATATTACTTTCTGTAATGAAGAAAAATGGAAAGCCTAAATGTTGCATACATGCATATTTAAGAGCCTTATTTGGGAAAGTGACAAAGGGCTGCCCTCCTAGCAAAGATTATTATTATTCAATAAACCTGCTCAAAGAGGCATTTCTCCAGCCTGCATCCAGCAGCAGCCCTGAGCCCCCAATGGTCTTTCTTGCCACACCCAGGACTGCTCTAACTATCCTTCTCCGCAAAGCTTTCAAGGGTTTTCAAAACCACCGCAAAGCACATCCCAGGCTTCTTGGTCCTCTGCCATCGTCCTGAGGCAGATTAAGGCACTCTGTAGCTTCTAAGTGCTAGTGAAACACTCATTTGCTAATTGAGATGGGATTCCTTGAAGATCAACCATTGTTTCACATGGTTAGAAAAGAAAAAGATGAGTACTTTTAATTATAGGCCTAGTCAAGGTTTTCCTATATGTTATGGATAAATCTAGCTTGGAAAATACTCAGCCCTTTACAGAATTCTCCTACATATGCACGAGTGAGCCTCAATTTGCTTCCTAAATATCCAGCTCATACAAATACGTATGATTCAAATGGCTGTGACATGGCTGTAAACAGAAATGAATTCCACTTTTCAAAGCCCTTGCAAGTGTGAGGCACAAGCAGATCCGAGTGACCTTGCACCACCCCCGCCTTAGCGCACGCGCTCCATTAACCCCCTGTCTGCTGAGAACTGGAAGCAGAAATTAAGGACCCCACTGGGTGATTGATGCACTTCAGAGTAAAGCGCCATCACAGGCAGCCTCAAGGCAGACTCTCCTCACGAACAACATCACAAGACCAGAGGACATGGTCTTTGGCTACTATGGTATAACAGGAGCTCTTCCTTAGAATGTTTGGACTCTGAGAAATCTGTAACTGACTGATTCAGGAGGTCTAGTTTTTACATCTGGGAAATGGACAGCAAACCAAGCATCTCAGAGTTTCCCAGAGTACCTCTCATGTATTCCAGAGTTTAGGGATGGAGAAGGATTCTTGGGGGAAAGACTCATTACTGGGAAGGGTGGCAACAAAGAGGTGCTGTAGGGCCGAATTGTGCTCAACTGCCTCCTGGGTATTCTGGGACAGCGCAAGCTCTCCTCAGTCGAGCTGATATGCTGCCTTGTGGCAAGTGTTTGAGATTAAAACTAACAAAGATGGCTGCAAAGCAAAGCTGTAGCCGGGCCTGTATCTTTACCCGGCTGACTGGGAGCAGAAGCAGCTGAAGGGAAGGAAATGCAGGCAGGCAAGAGGGAGTTAAGTAAATAATTTTTTTTCCTTTTCTTTGTCGATATGTTTAGTTCTCTTCCTGCCAAGACTCATTTCACTCTGCTATCTTGTGAGAGACACATATGGTGCGGTGAAATTGCCATCCGAGAAAGCATGCCCCAGCCTGTTGAGACATCATCAAATAAGATTAAAGCAAAGCAAAAATAAAAAGATAGAACGATTCCCCCTCCCTTTTTTTCTTTTTTGCAGCAAACATCTGATGAAAGTCAGTAAGGTACTTGAATGCTTCTAAAGGTTTTGTGGCTATTTCTTTACTTTGCCTGGTTAACAAAAAGGCAGAACAGGACTGGCCAATCTCCCCCTTTTACTTCTTCAAGTTAACAAAAACAGTGCTTAATAGTATTGCTTTCAATTCTCCTCTGATAAATAGCACTTAAATGCACCAAAAACAGCTCTATTTCTCTATTGCTCCCTTCCTTTCCCGCTTCTGTCTTGGAGTATAATGTGTAAAGCCTTTGGGTGCCAGTGTGCCATCCTCCCTCTGCAAAAGAGAGCACCAGTTTTTAAAGGCTTTTTTTTTTAAGGCTATGGCTGTAATATCTGCTCTAGAAAAGAGAAATTGCCTTCCCCCTGGGAGAAGGCACATCATAACATGGAATCATAAAAAGCTGAGAAAAGCCACCCATTTCTCAGATGAGAAGATAAGAAAATTGTTTGGAATGCTTACATGTAGATCCATTTAATAGCCACTCCTCATTTGGTACCATTCTCAGGCCAAGGCATGAAAGGGAAAAGACTTGAATGTTTTCATGGCAGAAGAGTCATTTCCTGTGCTCCCACTTCTTCCAAAATGGAAACCTTGTTTCTGGGCACCTAAATTTCACTCACTTTGTCAGTCAATTACTTAAGGCTCTCCTTCTCTGGCTGGGCTGTTCCATGTTGAGAAGGTCTTCTTGAAATTGTTTTCATTCCTGTTTTTATTGATTGTGTTAAGGACAGTCCAAAGGAGAACAACAGTGAAGCCCACAGTCAGAACTGAAGCTGCCTCTGTAAGGGAGAATAGATGCATGTGGCTGGAGCAGATAAGAGCAGGCAGGCAGGAGATGCTGTAGTTGAGTCTGGAGGAACATGAGGGGCTGCCTTAGACCAAGTCAAACAAATAGGTTCATCCAACTCCATGTTGTCTACACTGAAGGGCAGCAGCTCTCTAGGGGTCCAGAGCACCTCATAGGGATTTTAACTTGCTGCAGCTGTAAGGTGTATCAAAATTTTCTATTTTTGCTTTATGGTTAAAGTATATTAATAAATAACAGCCCAGTGATGACAAGCAGGCCAGGAAAAAAAAGGGGGGGTTGTAATATCAACATTAAGACTGCTTAGCAGTGGCAATGTCTGTCAAGTACCAAAGCCTTAGAGCCATCTCCACATTTTGATTTATAACTTCCTTTAGAAATTTCCAGTTTACCTATTTTACCCCCTAAGGAATGATAAGAGTATGAACCCCCCTGCTGGCATGGGCCTTAGTACATGTGAACCCCTTTTACTTCCCTGTTAGCAACCCTGGCCTCCACCTTCTCGTGTGAATAGCAAATGATGGAATACAGTGGTACCTCGGGTTAAGTACTTAATTCGTTCCGGAGGTCCATTCTTAACCTGAAACTGTTCTTAACCTGAAGCACCACTTTAGCTAATGGGGCCTCCTGCTGCCACCGCGCTGCCGGAGCACAATTTCTGTTCTCATCCTGAAGCAAAGTTCTACACCCGTGGTAATATTTCTGGGTTAGCGGAGTCTGTAACCTAAAGCGTATGTAACCTGAAGCGTATGTAACCCAAGGTACCACTGTAATTGTGACTATCAAAACCGAAACAACACAGGGGTACAGGTGCTCATGTGGCAATTGCACACGCAGAAAATTCAGATCAGAACAAACACAACTAGAAGACCATAAAAACAAATTTCATGGAGCTTAGAGCCAATTGCTTCAATAGCCTTGAGCAAGAATTAGAGGAGAGACCCAAAGAAAGAAAAGCCAGAGGAATATCCCCTGGGCCTAGATCCATGGATATGTAACAGGGGCTCGTGTGATATCATCACAACATTAACTTCTCTCCCTCCTGACCATGCCTGAAGTTGAGACTCAAAATACAAGTTATCTTCAGTTACTTCCAAGGGCCTATTGTGGAGCTCTCCACCGGTGGGACTTTTGCCTGCCTGCCATCCATTTTTCTGCCTTCCCCAGACATGTCCGAAAGCGGGGAGAATATGTGATTATTGTTCTCCAGAGAGGTGGAGGAAAGGTGTTTCAAAAAGTGACTTCATCCATATGTAAGCAGATGGTTTGTCTGGAGAGAATGAGAATGCAAACCTCACTCACTGGCGCATGCACACACAAACACACACATGCCCTTGGAGAGGCTGCTTGTTTTAAGTGGGCCCTTTTGCTTTCTGAATTGGTGGTGGAGATGTGTGTTATGTGTTGAAGAAAGCATGATGTACTCACACACCTCCTATTATGAATTACTGCACTTGATAATTACAGTAGGAAAGTGATCATCTGAGCATAGAGTTAATTTCAAAAGCCTCCTGTCAAATGTAGTTGGCTGAAGAGAACATATTTCTCATTTCATGGGAAGCCGACGATATAGCTCTTGTTTCAGAATTTCATAGTTAATATCTTCAGCTTCTCTCGGAAGAGTCTCGGGTTATTTCAATTGCAAATTGAGTGTGTGTGGGGAGAGTGGGAAATAGGTTGTGGTGAAAAGATGTAAAAAGGAAGAAAAGTTGGGCTGAACTTGAAGGAAAGAAACTCTAAAACTACCCATCTGTTTTCACAGTGATGTGATTTTGATAGAGCCAAGTCACATCCATCTGGCTGCCCCATGCAATGGTTAGGATTTGGTTGTGGACAGTGCTTTTTTCGGGGGGGGGGACACAGGGGTACGCATACCCCTAATCATTTTATGAACTTTTGTCCATTTACTGTATTTATTTTTCCTGATTTGAACTATAAAATGGTGATTTTCTTGAGTCAAAATGAGACTATCCCTAAACATTTTTTTTAAAGAAAAAAAGCACTGGTTGTGGATATTCCCACACTCAAATGAAAACATGAATTTGCACTGAATCTGAATTTTTGTTTGTTTTTTAATCTGAATCTAATTTTTTGGCTCAGTCCCAAACATTTGGGTTTTGTTATCATGGACGCTTTAAATTTTTTGACCCACAAATAGGTTTTTGTATTGAAAAGGGTGTTTGGTGCCTTCTCCCTAACTATTAGGAGGCAGCCCTGTTTAGGAAAGTTTTAATGTCTGATGCTGTATTGTTTTTAATATTTGGTTGGAAGCCGCCCAGAGTGGCTGGGGAAACACAGCCAGATGGGCGGGGTATAAATATTATTATTATTATTATTATTATTATTATTATTATTATTATAGCATCTCTCTAGGCAGAGCCTACAAAAGACTCATTTCACTGTGGATTTGTGGATTTGGGCTTACCTCCTCTCAGGCAAGGCAATCTCCTCAGTGAAATGGGGTGAAGGAGAAGGTTTTCTGGACAACAGCAAAGGAGAAAATGTTTGGTGGAGGGTGGAGGCCAACGCAAAGGGAGCTGGGGGAAAATAGAGCTATCTAAAATATGAACCTGTTGTAGGCTAAATCCACCTAAATGTCACATGTACAAATCAGACCAATAGTGTTAACGGGGGTGAGGGTGGGCAGGCAGGAGGGAATCTAACCCAGGTGGTTCTGTAGTTTGGGAACAGAGTTAGGGAGAATATATGCTGCTGATTAAGTTCCAAAAAATGGGGAGGGAAGCATAGCAAAAATATAAATCTATCACTATGGGCAGTAAATGGAAAGGGGTGCGTCAGAAGGGGGGGGGTAGCAGAAGCAGCCTGCCACCAGGAAAAGGTGAAGGAGAAGAAGGGGGGTGGAGAAAGAAAGAAAGCCGACCTCTGGCGCAATAATGGGGTGCAAACGTCTAAATCTCTCACATTTTATGGGCAACGTCTAATGCTTCTACCCCCTGCCATTATGACATTTCCACTGGCTCTGATCTTTATTTTCAGTTTTATTGCCCACTGAGTAACAGGTTTCTCCAAGAGTGAAAGAAAGAAAGCAGACTCCTCTAGGAAGCTGGGCAGTTGGAACTCAGGCAGCTCCCATCTCCGTCCTCTTGCTGGAGGGACAATTTCCCAGGCTCCATGTGGAACTCCAGCTAGGATCAGGCCCAAACAACCCTTGAGAGGGACAAGACCAGGTCTTCAAGTGCAGGTTGAAAGCAGGTGTGCATGTTTTTGGGTGGGAGGGTGCTGTTTAAAGGGCCAGGGGGTGGGGGTTCAGACCCATATTTTCATCTCATCCATTTCTGTCCCCAGTCCTGCTCTCTGGGAACTTTTCTCCCAGTTAGAGCCACTTCTGGTATTTCAGCTGAGATGCAAAGGGCCATGGGGCCAAAGTACTGTGAGCAGCAGGACAAAGTACTTTGAGAGAGGACAGAGCAGTGGGCCTCTCTCCCATGCTGTTTGGCCCTCAGTGATGTCTTTGGCCTTGCCCTGTGTCTGTGTATGCTACAAGGAAGCAAGAGTGGCTGAGGGGGGTACAATGCAGCCAAAGGGAAGAGCTCTCAAGACCCACTCATTTTAATCAGAGAAAGATGTTCATGCACCTTCAGTGCATCACCATGTGTTACTTGTACAAGCCACCATGTGATCCTGGGAGCCTTAAAGCAGTTATTCCTTCAGTCAGAGTTTGAGATGCATATCTAAAGCCTGAAACTGGCCAGAATGCTCATCTGCATTACAAATGGCTGTCTTGCGCTTTCTTTCTCCTTTTTAAGCACCATACAGAAGGAAGGAAGGAAGGAAGGAAGGAAGGAAGGAAGGAGCTTAAAAGTGATCTGAAATGCTCAAAAATGTGGAGAAAGTGTCAAGAATCTCTGTGGCCACAGCTGTCCCTCCTGCAGGAGGGGGTAGGAGGAACAACGGTGCAAAAGTTGCCTCACTGGATAGACATCTGGATCCCATTAGCTTACAAACCAGAGCATCCGCAAACTTGTCAGCTGAAACCCACAACAAAGCCTGGGGAGGCGATTTGCCTTCTGACAGGAACCCGGCTGCTCTGTTTTACAAGGCAAATATTATCTGTTCTCATTTCCAGGGCGCCACATTATTAAAAGCTGGATGTAATCTAAGAAATTAAAAAGGGCTTGTTTCATTTGACATTTCATCTCTTGAATTCCCCAGAGAAAGAAAAGCCCAATATGAGCCTGGGTCTTGCTTGTCAAGAATTGTCTTTTCACTTGTGAATCTGTTCTCCTCTGACCTGCCTTGTCTGGCAGCCAATCGCAGCACAGGGAAATGCACCTCCCCGGGGCTTGCGAGCCACACCCTCCCAGGGGCTGCAGCAGGAGGGAGCCTTTGCTCACCACCCAAAGGGAAGAGGGGTTTTGTTTTGTTTTTACATAGAGGATATAGATTGCTTGCCTGGGAGGACACGCTGTGCAGTGGGCCAAATTCAAGCTAGAAATAGTTATGAGCATCCATAACTACGCTTCTGGATCAGGATGAGGTGCCTGCTTTCCAATGATGCATCTGGAAGATCACAAGCCTGTTTGTCACCAGCATCTGGTATTCACAGATAGACTGTCTCTGGACACGGAAGACCGTCCATGAAAAGCTTATTATTGGCTGCATCCCATCGGATTATTCCTGAACCCTGAACCAAACTGGCTTGTGTGCTATCTTGAAGTCCCACAAGTGGGGGCAAGGCTGCCAGATTATGCACCCCTCCCAGTCCCTTGCACCCTTGGAGCCCCACTGGGCACTCCTCTTGCACTTCTAGCAGCTGCAATGGCACATGCCAGCAACTGGGTTTCTCCAACGAGGTACCCAGAGGAGCCTGCATGCCTCGGCCAGCCGCCCAGGATCAGTGGAGGAGTGGCCTCGGGAGCATGCAGATGGGCAGGCTCCCAGCTACTCCAAGACAAAGTGGAGAGGTGCAATTTTTGCACCCCTCCTGGGCCCATGCTCTTGGCAGGGGCCAGCCTGACCAACCACCAACCCCTGGCTGGGGCCTGACCCATGCAACTCCCTTGGCCCCTTTCTTGAGACAATGAGACTGACCTACCCTACCTCCCCTTATTGTCTATTTGTGGTTTCAACAGCTGTCAAATGGCTTAAGGCGGCACATCGCTCTTGAGCACTGTTTTGGTTCATTTGCAAAGATGAGGGGCGGGTTTTTATTCAAACCGAGGCAGACTGTGAATGGTTCTCTACATAGTAAAGTCAACTTGGAAGAGCTTGACTGGGTAAAAAAAAAAAGGACTGAGGCTGCTTCCCTACTAAGGCATCCATGGGTAGCTGTTTTTGTCTCTGTACTTGTGTGTCTTAGTCCACACACTTTCAATTTTATTCCTCCAAAATCTGTATTGATGTTTCCCGTCCACAGGAGTGGACGCCGCTTGTAGTCTTGCTGCTTTCTGTCCCCCCCCCCCATCCACCATAAATTCCAGTAAGCTGAGGTCTGTTGTGGGCATGCATGCAAGTGTTTGTTTATCTATGCATGCGAACGTTTAAAAATAATAAATGGTTCCAAATAAAAGTTTTTCAGTCTACTAGATTTGCAGAAAAGTGAATAATAACAAAAATACTTGTGCTTCAGAAACCTGAGGTCCATTATGGGCAGGCAAGCAGGCATTTGTTTACCTGTGCATGCACACCTTTAAAAAAAATTAAAACCAGGTTTTTTGATATACCAGATTATATATGTGTGTTAGAGAGAGAGAGATTCCAAGCCAGTCAAGGTTTTGGAATTGCTAACATGAGAGGCTGCTGCTTCCTTTCCTGCCTATTTCCCTTCTCACTTCCTGTACCTGCAAGGACACACTTTATTTTTATTTTGAATACAGCTGCCTTGTGCAAGAGCAATTTTGTGCAGAACTGCTTTTAAAATTGGCACACTGCAAATGTGGCTTCAACAATGAACAGCAGAAAAAACCATTTTGGCTGCTGGAAACAAAATGGAAATAGGAGTTGTGGCAGTAGACGGCACCCAGTGAAATCCTGCCACACATGGGGGGAGGGTGATCACCCACACGATGCGCTCCACAGTCAGGTAACATGCAGTTTTATATTGGATTTTCTTCCTTTATCAGATAAAAAAAAAACACTGCATTTCGTGGGGGCTGAGGAGAATGCCACAAAAAAATAAACACACAAGTAGCTCCAAATCCACATTAAACTCCAGTGTGGATGAGCTGCAAGTTGTTTAAATTGGCTGAGTCCTGCAGCTTGGGATTCAAAGTGGGTGGTCAGGGGAAAAGGTCTCTCCTTTGGTTCTACGACCAAAATTCCCAGCTGAAAGCTCGTCTACAATGTAGCTATACGATGAGCACGTCAGAGGTTTGTCCCACACGGAAGCAGCGGTGCAGGCACCACTGTAGCAGGTGGCCAAACCTTGGGGAGCAACAGGGCGAGTCCTCCAAACTGAACCCCCAGAATCCAGAGGCTCAAGTCAGAAGGAAAAGCAAAATGTCCACTCAAAGCCATCCAAATTGTGAAGTGAGGGTGGGGATTGTTCAGCCAAGAGAAAGAGAGAGGGAGGGAGGGAGAGAGGGCAATAGAGAGGCTCCTGTTTGACATTCCTGCAGGCCTATTTATTAGTGGTGAAATACAAACCATGTTATCAAGAATCTCGAGGAAATGGATTGATGTTAAGTGATACTTCAGAATCCACCCCCTAGCAAAGCTACTACACCATTGCAGGCAGATAAGTGGAAAATCCTTCCTGCAGACGGCGGAGATGCTGTAAAGCCTTTGGATGCATTTCTGCGGCAAAATACCAAGCAGCCTTGGGTACCTTGGGGGGTTGGGGAAGAGACAAAGTACATGAAGACTGCAGAGGAATGTTACGAAATCAAGCTAATAATCTCGAAATGTCATAACATGGTGTTCAAAGTCACTCTCGATGTTATGAATCTCTGCCTTTTACGGAACACTCATTGCTCTTGAATGGACCTCCTACAGAGGTGAGGGGTTCAAGAAGAATGATATTCGCTTGATTCATAATCCAGTGGCAACACAGGTGCAACCTAGAGCTCCTCCCTGGCATAAACAGGTAATGTTTTTGGGTCCAAAAAGGAGGTCATTGAGCTTGCAACACAAAGACCCTTGGAGCTGCTAGGGTGGCCTTTGGCAAAACCACACCTGCATCACAACCTTGGAGGTATCTGGTCTCTGCAGTGGGACCTCTGCTAACAGCGGCAACTTGGCTGGCCTAGGCCCCTTCTTTCGGCTGCCTTCCAGATAGTTGGGCTGCTGTTCATCCCCCTGCTGAGAAGCCACCCCCCCCCATGTCACAGCCCTGATCCATGTGACACCTGGGAGGAAGCCCTGGAAACAGAGCTCCCCACAGTGGGCAGGAAGCATGAGCACCCCCAAGCCAGGGGTAGGCAACCTAAGATCCGGGGGCCAGATGCGGCCCAATCATCTTCTCAATCCGGCCCGCGGACAATCTGGGAATCAGTGTGTTTTTACATGAGTAGAATGTGTGCTTAAAATGTATCTCTGGGTTATTTGTGGGGCACAGGAATTCGTTCATATTTTTTTTCAAAATATAGTCCGGCCCACTACATGGCCTGAGGGACTGTGGACAGGCCCAAAGCTGAAAAAGGTTGCTGACCCCTGCCCTAAGCAAACACCCCACATCCCACCCCACAGTGCATGCTTTTTTTTTTTGAAAAATGTGCTGATATAGGGAAGGCCAGGGTCTCTCTCTCTCTCTCTCTCTCTCTCTCTCACACACACACACACACACACACACACATGCAGGAATGTCCATCTACCAGGAAAACCATCTAAAAATTAAATAAAGGGGATGGGAAAGGGGAGGGGGACCCAGGATGTGTTATGGCTTCCAAAAATCACACCCCTTCGGAAATAAGGAAAATGTGCCTGGAATCCTGAGAACCCCTGCCTGAAAAGTGGGGGTTTTTTGGGGGGGATGGAGTTGGGAAGAGATAACTAAATTCCATTATGTTCCTTTCCTTCGAAAACCATGTATACAACTCAACTAACACGCATTAGAAACATCCCTCTCTGCCTTTGATCCTTTCTCATCCTGGCTGTGTGGAGCTCAGTCTTCCTTCGGTTGCTCCTTTGTGCCTTTGGAAGGGCCGTGGGGGGCGGGAGTGGCTGCTCCACTGGTTAGCTGGGGAGGCTCAAAGCCCGAGCAGGACTGAGATGCAACAAATAGCTTGCACCGAAATGCATGTTCTCCCCCACCCAGACACCCCAGACATTCAGCTGGGGGGGGGGGCTGAGGTGGGCTGAGGACAAACATCCCACCCCCACAATAAAAGTAACGTTTAAATGAAGATGCCATCTCACAGAAGAGCTCTGCTGATGGCGGATGGCTATTCATGGGAGGGTCCCCTGCTGGGGGGGGGGGGCTCGTACACACCCTCCCCCGCTTCCCCCCACGCAGGCAACCAAGTGGCTTGCCTTTGCAAGGCCTGGGTCCTCGGCAGGATGCTTCCACTTTCAGACCTATCAAAGGAATCTCCGAACAAATTACATGGTGAATTAGAGTCCCTGCTCTGCCTCCCCCCTCTCCCGCCGCCCGCTTCCCGTTCTGCACGGACAGCAGCCGCGGAGCACCCGGGAAATCCTGCCAGATAATCAGATTACGGACGGGCAGGTGCCAAGAGGCGACTCTTGAATTTCACAGCCCAACTTCTGAGGCGAGATCAGTTCATCTCTCTCTAAGATGGGTCACAGGCGGACCAGGCTGTTTTAATTAACGCGCCGATTCGCGAGCGGAACAAACCGCGGAGCAGCCCGCGCGCGCGGAGGAAGGCTCCAGCGCCTCTCCCTGCAACAGCCTGGGAGGGGGGGGGCGGCGTGGAGGGGAGGGCGCTGCTGTGGGGCTTTTCACAGAAGCCTTCCCTGTGGGCTGCTTTCTGGCAGCTCATCGGGTTGCTGGCGATGACCTGAATAACAAAGCCGGAGAGAAAGGACAAAACGCGGAAAACAAATTAGCATTTTTAAAATAAAAGGGGGTGGGGGGAAAGAGCCTGGCTTTTAATCCTATTAAGATCGGGGCTTCTTCCCTTTCTAGGTTCTCTGAAAGAGAGATCCCGATGCCTCTCCCATTACCATAAGTGCTGAAATCAGCGCTTTCTTTGACAGAAGTTGTTAATATTTGGAAACGGCCAGAATTCCAGCCCCGACTTTGATTGTTATTCCAGGCTCCCCTCGCCGGTGCCAAGGTCACCGGGAGATCCACCTGCGCGCCGCGCGCAGCCCAGGCGCCGGGCCGCAGTGCATGTATAATTGAACACCAGCCTCTCCAGGACCTCCCTGCATCCCGAAAATTATTTTATTACAATAACAAATTGGTTTCAAAATCATGCATTATGGATTCTGAAATTAGGTCTGCCAACGGAACCTGGAAACACAAACACGCACTTCAGCCACGGAAGGTCCCGAGGAAAAAAACCGCAAGATGGATGGGGGTGGGGAGGAGGGGGCGCTGTGTGTGTGTCAGGACGAGAAGAACATTCATTCCGCCTGTAAACTCCTCGAACTCTTCTTTTATTACCCTTAATCGACAGAGTTAACAAGAACAACCACTCCTTGGGCACACAAGTGCGTAGGAATCCCATCGCACCTATTCCCGCATTGCAGGGGGTTGGACTAGATGACCCTTGGTTGACCCTTGATTCTACCCCCCCCCCCCCTTCATCAGGCAGGGACTCTGCAGCCAGATGGGGCTGTTCTGCACAACCCAAGACTGCTGTTGCCATTCAGGCTCTTGCTGCTAAACGCCCTGCCCCCAAGACAGCTTTTAGGAAGCCCTGCAGGTATTCTCCTCCGAAAGGGTTAACCTTGGCTTCTCTGCACCAGCCGGGCCTGCCCTGCCCAGCTAATGCACTTCTGTGATAGACGGTTGTCTCTTATTTGCAAATTTCATTTTAAGTTAAATATACATTGATTTAGCATTCTTTTACAGCACAAATATTCTTTTTTCTCATGCAAAATAAGCATGTTTCTTGGTCAACTGACATTTTGTGAAAATGGAGTTGAGGTAGCTATTTATGAATAATTAAGGCTAAAATGTTTTTCTCATCCCCTCAATGTCTTTTTATTTTAAAACATTTATATCATGTCAGAAAGGACTTGTTGTACCAAAAAGTAAGCTTTCCATTAAAATAATGCGGAAAATGACATCTCTAATGTTCCTAATAGTACCTACGGCTTCTCAGCTGTATTCTGGATCCCTGCTTGCAAGCGAGCAAGGGAGGAGGCAGGCGGATGGACGGACAGGCAGGCAGGCAGCCTTCCTTCTGTTCTTAGGGGGGGGAGTTCATTTTCTGCCTTATCCACTCTGGTGTTAAAAGACTTCATTTGAAATATTTACAATGTGACAAAAAGCCCCAACTAAGAACTCTTTTTTAAAGTACTTACGCTGGCCAAACCCTTTCCGATTTTCAGGAGAGTGCATTTTTCTATTAATGGGAGAAATGCAAATTGACAGAAATTGCCATTAGTTTTAAATGGTTTGGTTTTATATATTTATATCTATATGGAGACATTTAAAAAAAGAAAGAAATTGGAAGAACATGTTGCAAGCCCATACAATGTTTTAATATTACCAGTCCTAACAGTGCAGCTACCTGCCATTCCTCATCCATATAGGCATTTTCTAGCAGAAAAAGAATCAGAACAGGATTTAAAAGTTTGAAGATTTTACTGAAGGACATGCTAAGAGAAAACATAAATGTCTGTCTTCCCTTTCTGAATGCATTTGTAAGCATGCTTTGTTTTTCCTCTAAAGAAATGTCTGTGGAAAAACTGATCTGTAATTTCATTTAGAAGCAATGAAGGGAGTAATTTTTTTTTCCTTTAGTGAAATTAAGATGAATAATTATCTCTAATCTAATCAGTATTATCTGAAAAAAGATGTTAAACAGCTTAATTTTTGTGATTTCTTTAAAAGCCTCTTTTGATGCTATTTAGACTGACATGCTGAAGGGTGGCTTTTCTAAAGAAACAATTAAGAAATTGTTGATAGTTATTAAACGTTACTGGCAATTCTGAACAATTATAAATGCATTTTAAAAAAAAACTTCTGATTTTTTACACACATGCTTAAATATCAGACAGTGAAAAGGAGTAGAAAGAACGATTTGCCAAATCTATTATTGTACAAAATAAAAACAGGATTCATAAGAGAAGCAATTTCTCCCATGATGGGTGTGTGTGTGTATTTGAAAATCTATTAAATTGGGGGTGGTAACTAATGTTCCTTGCATATTTGGTTATCAATATTTTTTAAAAAAAATCAGCTGAGGGCTATTTTAAGCTGACTGTTACAAGCCTACTCTTTTAAATGTTATTAAAGTCTGCTTCCACGTGCATGGATTCCTCGCATCTCACCAGAAGCACCATTTCAGGAAAGGGGGGGGCGAAATAAAGTCAAAATTATCCTCTCATCTAGAGAAAGCAGAGAACTGCCCCCTGTCCCTGGTCAAGATTTCCCAGGGGGAGGACTGGGAGCTGTGTTGGTGAGGATCTAACGAAGAGGACTGCGTGGAACAATATTTCCCCTGCCATAAAGGCGGCTCTGCAGCAGGTTCACAAGATTTCCAAATCGGCACAAAGGATTAGAGGGGGAAATGGACGGGGTGGAAAACATGGTCTCGAGGGCAAGCCCCCTGGAGTTTCATCCCAAGCTTAGTCTAACAGGAGAGGTGGCTGCTCATGAGAAGGCAAGCAGGCCAAAGCTCGGCTGGCTGCAGCAGAAGCCCAGGGTTGAAGGGGTCACTTCACAGGGAGAAAGACAGAAAAGAAGATGCGCCACAGTAAAAAGAGGGAGCCTGATGTGGTGCACAGAGGCAGCCCAGCCGCCTCTCTTAGAAGCGGCTGTGCTGGCAACTTGGCTGACTGACACCATTAACTGGTTGCCATTTGGAACCCAGAACATCCCCTTGCAGCAGCACCAGGCGGGAAGCTGGCTGCCAGGAAAGGGGGAAAGTTTGACACTGCATCCGCCAAGCAACCTCACACCAAAGGTTTCACAAATAACATAACAATAAAGACACTTGTTGTTCTTCAGGATGGTAAACCTCTGCTTTCTCTTTATGCATCAGATTCTGCCAGTTCTCTCTCTCTCTCTCTGATTTCCCATGGCCGGCCTTAAGCCCAGAAATTCAGACACAGAAAAGAGGAGGGAATACTGTCTGCAGTGGGGTTCCCTCCTCTTCTCCTGCAAATTCTCTTTTTTCCCTGGTCAGCTGCAATGCAAAAGGCAATTCCCTGCCTAAACATCATATAAAGCTAGCGGAGGGTGGTCCCTGATTAGTCTGAAAACCTGCAGAAAAGGGCAACGGCTGCCAGCACCCATGGCAGCAGCAAGCAGCTAAACCAGCCTAGGGCACACTCCGCAAGGAGCACCTCACGCGCAAGCCCTGCATCCTTCTGCACAGTAGCCATTTGCATTAATGCAGCCCAGGCTGGAGCAACGGAATCGTCCTCCTCGATGAGGACAATCCAGTCCTTCCAGACTGTCACTGTTTTCAGGTGCGATTCAACCACATACTGGCAAATTCAGATTGCGTTATTACAGTTGGTCAGGAAGTCTCGTGCAAGAAATCAGCCTCCCCAAAGATCAGACTTTTTGTAAGGAGGAAAATGACAGGCAAACACACTGGAAAGTGCAGGAATAACACTTGCTTTGATGCAGCATCATCTAATCTCCCCACAAATGAATGAGAAGCAACAAATTAAATAGCCAGCCTCATTTAATCTCCCTGCAAATGAATCAGGATGAACACTCAGTAAACAGGTTGTCTGGAAGTGAAATCAAACAACAATTTACCTAAGGGTAAAAACACCACTTTTGGCAAAGCATTTCTCCCACCAGGAAATAATTATTAGTAGTAGCTGCTGTTCCCCCCCTCCATTTTACAATGTATATAAAACACAGAACAGTTATAACAGAGGGAAATTAAAACATGAAAAACAAAACTGTAAAATGGGCATGTACAATAAGCACAGTTACATGTGAGTTAAAATAAAGTCCAAGTCATAAAAGAAAAAAAGTGAGAATAAATGTTGTCTTCATGAAAAGACTATCAACATTATTTGATTATCAAGTATAGTTCCAGATTTGCCAGGCTGGTGACAAGGGTTGAAAATGATGGCTTCATTCCATATATAATAAAGGAATGCCAAATCATATAAAATGTGTCTGGAGGTTTTAGGCCTTGTTGAAATCTTAAATGATGTGTAATTCTCTCCATTATAGGTATATTCCAGAATGTGTTATACAGTACTAGTTATTTTTATTAAATATTATTATTTATGATGATGATCTACTGTTCCCTAAGGGGCAAGGCAGTTTACAATGTGCAAATAGAAAACATTGCAACCAGAGTTTCAACTAAACTCTGCCCTTGAACTCCTCTCCTCCCTGCCAGGCCACATCCCTGTCCACTTGCCCTGCTAGCTCTTTTGAACATAACATTCTTTTGTCCTGTGACGGATTCTCCCACTCCTTCAGCATACTTGTACCAAGATTTTCTTGGCTGTCGCATTCTGTGTTGGTGACTAAGAAGTCATGCATATCTTGCTACTTTTTAATCATTCCTGTGTCAGGTTTTCCCATGTTCCTTCTACAATTGTGCACTGATCATCATCATAATGATAATGGTGATCACTGCCATCCCTTAGCTGAGGGAATGGGCAGCAAAAAAAGCACAGCCTGCTGTTCATGCACTAACTAGAGGTTTCTGGGTGCTATACACATCTTTCTAAATTATTATTATTTTATTTATTAAACTTATTAGTCACTAATTTGCCGCAGCAACTCAAAGGACTTACAATAATTTTAGCAAACACATACATACATGAAAATAGCGTTTAAAAAAGAGTAAAACACAATTCTATTTTTTAAAAAACTACCCTTGAATTAAACATCCCACGCATGCAAAAAGGCTACAGATAAGTAAAAGTGAAAGGCCTGATAGAAAATATATGTTTTTGCAGTGTGTGTCCCCAAATAAGCCCCACCGTACAGCTCAGAAAGAGCGGCAAATGCGAAGAGAGCTGGGCTGCCTAATGGAAGCAGAGTGATCCTGCCCTCATTGTTGCTTTCCAAAAATGTGGGGCTTCTGGAAAGTTCGCTTCTCCCTGCTTGCAGTTCAGAGTCTCCATCTCCTTTCCCTCTGATAGGTTTGGGGTGAAATGTCAGGCCATGATAGCGATGTGCTTGCTGTTCTATTACAAACCCTTTTCCCTCAGTGGCTTTTAAAGGCACATTCAGCTCCCATCACCCCCCCCTTGCCCCTGAGTCAGGGGGAGCTCACCCCTGGCACGGGTGGGGACCCCTGGCCATATCTCATGCTCCCAAGCAGCCGCCCTGGCAACCGTAAATCCAAGCCACTGTAATTCTCGCCCTGGACGGGCGTACATTTTAAACAGCTACTTAGGGGGAGGCAAGCGCCAAGTGCTCCGGCAGGGACCACGCTGAGTTTTGCTTTCCTTTTATTGTGCCTTTTAGGTTTTTATTGGGGTTGATTCATTATGCGCCGCGGACTCTATAGGAACAGGCCATTTCTCAACTTAACAGGTTTACAGGGAAATTATAGTTTTTAAAGCCTAAAGGTCCAGGGTGGGGGGAACCAACTGAACTACAGCATTTGCCCCACAGATAGAAAGGGGAGAGAAGATGCCCCTTTCTGCTCTCCCACCTCCAATCAGCCCCCTCCAGTGGCTCCTTCAGCTTTGGATGGATTTGCCTGGTAAAGGAGACTGGAGGAGGAAAGAAGGGAAGGCATCAGCAGCACAGGGAGAAAGGAGGAGAGAGCTGGGGGGGGTGCATCATAGAAGCAGGATGAGAAATTTTGAGACATTTCTGGTGGTTGCACTGAAACAATCTCTTTTGATACTAGGGGGTGGGGAATTAAACTCAGTTTGCATTTAAAGGCAAACCCACTTAATCTGCGCTTTCTGACACAATGCAGCACCTGAAATGCAGCCATCCTTTGAAATTCACAAATCTCCAGATTTTCCAATGCTGCCTTGCAGCCACGTCATGTATGCAACTTGGGAGAAGTCTGCACACAAATGCATTATATTAGATAAAATTGCTTTGCACGTATGTGTATATGAGGCAAAATATACACATACCAGGAGAAATTCTTCCCAAAATCCTGATGAGAAAACGAGAATTTTCACTGAAGAAAATTTTTGTTTTCTTTAAAAAATAAATAAATCACCATTTGATGCGAAGAACTAAAGGTTGGGAAAATGAAAAAAATGGAAGTTGACAGATTTGCCCACCCCCAATGATACCCTCTGGGGTAGTGTCAGGTGAGGCACATGGAGCTCAGTGCAAGAGAAGCCTGTCTCCCACTCTCTTTCATGTTGTGGGGTGGGAAGAGTTGTACAAAGTCTGTGGTGCAGCCTAAGGCTTGCTTACTTGGAAGCAAGCCTCTCTGCATTAATCCCAAGTAGGTCTGGACAGGGCTGCACCTCTAGGGGCCCAAAGTGACACATCTTGAAACACGAAAGCTTGGCCTCAGCCCCTTGTGTGTTGTTGCAAGGTGTCCCAGCAGAGCACCTCTCTTGGGCCAGGTGTGGCTGTTTCTCTGGCACTCCTGAAAACGATGTTGCTGTCCAGATGAAGTGGGTGGGCTCCTGATAAGTGCACTCTGTCACCACTTCGCCATATGACACCCAAAACAGCTCTTCCCCAAGGCTGGAAAAATATGTGAAATGCCTCAATCAATCCCAAATGCCTAAGAGGCAGTCCCATATAGAAATAAGAAAAGTACAGTGGTACCTCGGGTTACATACGCTTCAGGTTACAGACTCCGCTAACCCAGAAATAGTACCTCAGGTAAGAACTTTGCTTCAGGATGAGAACAGAAATTGCGTGGCAGCAGCGGCGCAGCAGCAGCGGGAGGCCAAATTAGCTAAAGCTTCAGGTTAAGAACGGACCTCCAGAACGAATTAAGTATGTAACCAGAGGAACCACTGTATACACATGGTTTAGCATCATCAGCCCCAAAGTCTTCCAAAGCCTGGTCAGCCTGGAAGCATCAGCACGTTTAAAAGGCATATAGCATGTTTAAAAGGCATATATCCTCTTGTTTTATTTCATTCCCCCTCTTTTCAGTTCCTGCTTAAGGAATGACAGGCAGGCCCTGTACATACAATTTAATCCTTTAAAGAATCAGTGGGCCTCACATCAATCAAGCCTTCATAAACTTGTAAAAACAATATTGTGATTCCATCAGAGGTAAAGCCCTGAATTTCCCTGCTAATTAATGCAGGGTCACTATGGCCGTGGTCAAATATTTACCCCTTAGCCAGCACTCCAGGCCTTGGGATGACCACCAATGACCTGAGTAGTGGGTAAGAATTGATTATGGATCTGTTGTCATTGCAGCAAAGCGGCATTTGGAGATCAACAGTCTTGCAAAGAAGGTGGTGGCCTCAGATCGGAGACCTTCCCAGCATCTCTGCTTTCCCTTCAGCCATGAAGAGGACACTTAAGAGAAAGTAGGAACCCCCATGCTAAGGAAGTGTTGGGGGGCCTGAAGGCACAGGATGCAACCTCTTTTCTTGGCCAAAGCCAAGCAGGTGTGGGTCTTGTTAGTGCCTGGGATGGGTGCAACTGGCACAAACATACAGAGTAGAAGAAAGAGGGGATACAAATGGAATATTGACTTTAGCCTGGATTTCCCCTCTAAGCAGAGTCAAAATGTGGAGTGAAATGCATGTAGCAGGCACTATTTGTAAAGAGATGTCTGCTTAATTTTGCTACTGGAGGAGGAGCTGTAAGTCATTGCAGGATCAGGGCCAGAGGCCAAGTTCAGGGTGAAAGCAGCTGTACAGATAGTTCCTTATTCCTGATATAGGTTTTGATATATGATTTTCCCCCAAGGGACAATAGTCTGTTATTGTTGTTTTTAAAAACCTGTCAAAGTGCTTGCCCTCTTTTCTCTTCAACCGCTTTTCTTTGCAAGGCCCTTCCTCACTCACTTGCATCAGGCTAGGGCTTCTTCTGTGCCCCCTCCAGCTTAGCATGAAAATCTCCACAGGTGACTGGGAGCAGCTCTGACTGGCCTCCCTTAAAAGGTGTTGTAGGGATGGATTTTGAAATCCATGCACACATCTCCAGTTAATAATCTGGCTTCTCAAGCATCTATTATTTAAAAAGCAGTGCAGCTCATCTTTAAGGGATGTGTGATATACAGTATATCCTGTAGGTGTACATCTCTCTCTGACTACCTGGATAGCATGTGTCTATTGATCTGCAGGTCTCTATCCACCCATGAATGCCAATAAAACTTCCACCCCCAAGAAAGAAAAAGAAAGGGCTTGGAAATGTTTGCGCAGCTCAGAAATGCTTAAGAACAGAACAGTAAAAAAAAAACAAAAAACCCTTGATGGAAGGCAAAAGCCATAATGAATTTGCCTTCCCATGCCACCCTCTCTGAAACCTCCATGTGATGCAATGAGAAAGCAAGATATGTGTGGGAGGTGTACAGAGGGATGCGGTTGCTGGAAAACGTGTTGCAGAAGAGAAAATTAGTCTTTTTGTTTACTGCTTCCTGGATCATGCCCCCACCTGCTCTCATTTTGCAAATTGCATGCCATGAGTTTACTCCAGCACACCTTTCTTGGACAACATTCTCTTCACACAATCCCACCTGCAATTTCTGCACTTCTGTCTACACCACTATCAAGCAGAAGGTGGTCAATCCAAGATCGTGTTCTTTGGAAATTCCTCTAAGAAGCAATCAAAAAGTGGCACCAGGAGCTAAATAGTTAAGAGAGCACATTAAAAGAGCTTATCTTGCTTTTAAAAATTAAAAAAAATATTTTCTCCTCTTAACACTTTTAGACATCTAAATGGGAAATGTGGGCAGCTTAAATGGGAGGTCATCCTCACGAGACACTTGATGGTTTCCATTCTTGTCCAGCACAACCCCATTTGAAACAGAGGTCCAATTTAGGGGAGGAGGTTTGTGCATACAGTGCCTGCGAAATCTACCCAATTAACACTTTGAGAGTGGAGGATAAGGAGGGGGGTGGAGAGAAATTTGACATTTCAAGGTGAATCTATTATATTTGAAGTATCTGAAATAATATGAGAACTAAAACACAACCAACCATTGAAATTCACACCTCTCTGAATTTTGCAGTGCAGCTCTCCCCCAACCTGTGTTTACAAAATTGCATAGTTGAGGAGAAAGTGTGCTTAAAAGTAAATGCATTAGCAAAAATAATATAAAAATGCATGTTAGTAAAAAATGCATACAAAAATGCAAAATTAGTAGAAATTCACAATAAAATGCTGGGGAACTTTCATGAGGATGTTTTTGAAACAAATTTTGTGATTTGCTGAGAAATGTGGAGAATTTAAGAATGGAAAAATGAAAAACAGGGAGAAGAGCTGAAGTGGACAGATCCTTCAATCCCTCCAGTGCAGGGTTTGCTTCAAGAGCAGCACCACTTACTTCTTCCAGCAGTGCTGATTTTCTTTGGCCAGATTCACCCCAATGTAAATTGTTTACATGGAAGTCACATCCATGGAGAAGGGTCATAGCTTAGTGGTAAAGCCCAGGTAGAGCTGCATGCAGAAGACCCCAGGTTCAAAACCCTGGCATCTCCAGGTATGACTGAAACCCTGGAGAGCCATTGCTGCCAGTCAGTGTAGACCATACTGAGATAAATGGACCAAGGGTCCAACTCTGTATAAGGCAAGTTCTGCAAGTACCAGGTGCAGTTTGCCATGTGTGACAGCAGGAAGGTAGACTCATTTGGCAGTGACTTCCTGCCATGTGCAATCACAATAAAACAGGCACACTGTGTGTATGCATCACACATGATAACATGATATGATATAAATCCTGCATGCAATGCTATATATAAAGCATGGAGAACTATAAAATAATAGTATTAGGAAGCTGTTGGTTCTTTTCCTTGCAAGGAAGACACACTTCTTTACTTTGAGGGTTGACATCTGAGATGTAAATTTTTAGGGCCTATCTTATTTTTGTAATATTAAGGTGTTTTAGAACTGTTGTTAATATTACTGTGTTTTAATTGTTGCAACCCACCCTAGGACCTTAAGGTGAAGGGCAGATAATACAGTGTAATAATAATAATAATAATAATAATAATAATAAATATTACAATAATAACAAACATGTATGAAGCAATTGGGGGGGCAGAATCTGCACTTAATTTTTTAAAAAAGCATCCTTCAGAATTAAAAACAGGAATCCTCACGCATTTGTTCTGAAAATGCATTTTTAGCAGCCCTCATCCCCCCAAAGGAGAACTATTTTGGCTTTCAGAATGTATGTCATAATAACTCTCCTCCCTCCACTCTCAGCTTCAGAAGGTAGGAGTGAAACTAATGGCAGAGAATCAGATTTGGGCTAAGCATTAGGAGCCCCTTCTAAACTGTACAAGCGGCTTGACAATGGAACCTACAGCCTCCTTAGGAGATGCTGGACTCTTCTAAGTGACTTCTAACTCTATGGTTGTAACCCTCAAAGGTGTACCTACTGGCAAATACCACAGAGACACATACCAGAAGCTCCCTTGGAAGGCTTCACCTGAAAACACCTTGCTATCTGATAAACCACATGGAATCCGGCAGGGTGTCACCTCTGTGGCACACAGGACAAACAAGGGATGATCCTGCTGCCTAGCAAAACTGACCAATTATTATTACTACTACTATTACTATATTTATTTATATCCCACCTTTTCCCCAAACCACAACTCAAGGCAGCTTACATAAATCAAAACAGCACTGATAAAAAAACCCCAAAAAGTTAAGAACATATAGAAGGTAATTGTTAGAAAGTAATTAAAATCTAACAGAATTAAAATGGTATAAAAACAATTCTATTAAAAGACAGATAATAAAAACAGAACAGCACTACTGAAACACTTTACTTAATAATAATAAAAAGTCAGTTCCTGTTGGAATAAAAGTCTTCAACTGCCAATGGAAGGACAAGGAGGGAGCTAGTCCTGCATCTCTAGAAAGGGAGTTCCAAAGTCTGGGAGCAGCCACCCAGAAGAAACATCTGGCTGTTTGGAGTGGGGTGGGGGGCTGCAGTTCAGATTCACAAGCCTCAGAAAGCACAAAATTTGGCCTGGTGCTTGTGAACTACTGGGCCCCTCACAGGTAAAATCTTCAGGGTGCAAACTGATATCAAGCAATTGGGGGGGGGGCGGCAAGCACAGATTCCTGGAAGTCTTGATCTGCTTTGCACAAAGTGGTCTCCATTTCGAGCCGTTGCATGACATGCGGAGACTGATCTGAGAGCAACAGATCAGCCTCCTGTGATATTTCTTAGGCTTTTATTTACGTCACGATTTCAAAAGAACTTTGGAAGCTTTCTGTTATTTCCCCATATGTGCAGGTGGATAATTGAATAAATAAAAGATACTACAGCATTCTTTGCTCCGCCTGTCAAAGGCTGAATCAGCTTCTCCATCCCTGACATCTGTGGGAGGCTTTTGTGAAGGACACCGCCTCCGATACAGCTTCCGAGAACACGGAAATCCTGCACTCGGTCCTTGGCCAAATGTAGCTGCTAACTTGTTCTGATTATTTTGCTTGGAAATGACCAAGAAACATTAGCAATTTCTTTTAGATGGACAACCTGCACCATTCTTTATTTATTTGAGCCTGTTGGGGGGGGGAATATTACTGCTATTAAATAAATGTTGGAATCATTGTTTCTCTGTTCAGCATTACAATGTCAGCATTGCCCATTTCCAGAGCGGCTTTTGGTTTATAAAGTGCTTTTTAATTCTATGCACTATAGTTTTTTTTGTAGTCCAAAATTAAAGTAATTCAAACATTTAAAATTGAAGGCTGCTGAATAGAAAAGGCTTCACCTTTGATTTTCAAGAGAACAGCATAAAACTCAAAGTGATGCAGCTCTCAGTAAACACTTTTAAGTATAACTGATTGCAGAGGGGCACCTGGCACTGTAAATAAATATGTGTTATTTGGGTGGGTGGGAATCACAGGGTGGGCAAATCTGTTGATTTAAGCTCATCCTAATTTTCCAATCTTAAATTCAGTTCTCCACATTTCCATATCAGTTTCCAATTTTTAAAAAAACCTAATGGAAAATTCATCAGCATTTTAGTGTGAATTTCTCCTAACATACAAATTTCTGTACAATTCTGATAAATATCCAAATTTTAATGTAACAGTATTCCCCTAATATAATGTATATTATGTATATTACTTTCATAAGTATATGAATTTTTTTGCACATTACCTGGCTGGCTGGAAAACTGCACTGCAAAATTCGGAGCAGTGCAAATTTTGAAGGCTGGTTGTGTTTTAGTACCTGTATTGTTTCAGAAAATGTGGCTTAGGTAGATTTAGGCAAATACAAAGTGCATCCAATTTCCTCCTCATTACTAATGGGAATCTGAGGCCAAAATCAGTCAAAAGAGTTGCACAAGACAAGGCAGTCAAGTGGGGGAAAGGAAAGAAAACCAAATTGCACAAAAGATAAAAGAAGAATATAAGGGTGAAGAAAGGGCATCTATATTGAAAGAAAATGAAAAGGAGGCAAAGGTTTTAAAGGAACTATTAATTTGCGAACTATGTTGTCAGCAAAACCTGAAAAGTTGAATTAAAAGAGGGGGGACTCTGGGGGAGGGAGAGGCCGCCAGAGGAGGATCAATTAAACCAAAAATTAAACCTCAACATGTAATATGTGAGAAGAGCAAAGATCAAGTGAATCCCAGCTGTTTGCCAAACTTTAGAGAGAGGAGGAACCGGAGGCTGGCCTTCAAGTGGCAAGCCCTTCTGCCTGGTTCACCGGCAGCCCACATGGAATTATCCTAATCTTCAACTAGCTGCAGTTAAGCAGAACACCCCAATAGATATTCAGGGCACTTGGAATAATCGGAGGGGTTGGGGAGCTCACTCTGATAACACCTTCCAAAGGTAGGCCTGCCTTTGGGCTCACCTCTCCACCACCAGCTGGCTGAGTTATTCTCACTTTTATGCCAACATTGCACTTTTGCTTCTTCCAGCTTTCCTGAAATCACCCCACCTTTGAGATAAAAGTGGAAGAACATTTCCTAAAAAATTTCTCTTCTTTCGGTAAAAAGAAGAGTATTTAGGTAAAAGTGAATGAGTGGACCGTTAGGTCATGCAAAGGCCTATGTGGGGCCACCTCTCCACACAGGTGAGGGAAACTTCGACTGGTGCCAAATCTCTGTTTCTAGGTTCCACACAAATGCCATTTTATTTACCCAGCTGTTTTAAAATGCTCAGTCCTTTCTGAGTTCCATTATCAATTGCTGGTTTTATTATTTCTTCTCCTGCTGTTTTAGTTTTTGGTTGTATTAATTGTCAGTTCATATTTGTAAGCTGCTCTGGAAGTTCTGAAAACTGAAATATAGGGTAAAAATATTGTAATGAATAATAAATCCATGCGTCCATTTATTAGAAATTGTGCCTTTAACACACAGTGGTTTTCATCAGAACAAGGGGAAGGGGTCGCAGCTCAGTGGTAGATCACCTGTTTTGCAGAAGGTCCCAGGTTCAATCTCCAGGTAATATTGGGAGAGACTCCCTGCCCAAAACCCTGGAGAGCTGCTGCCAGTCGGTGAAGACAATAGTGAGCTAGATAGACCAAAGGCCTGACTTGGTTTACGGCAGCTACTACCTATGTTCCTGTGTACCATTTGCTCTCCAGACTCAGCTGTAGCAACTCCTGTCTACCTGCTCTATCCACATCTTTTAACATTCTTCCTAATCTGTTATAAAAATTCAGTCACTCCAATGAAGCAAAAATGGAGTAAAAAAACCCAAACTTTGTCCAAACAGAATATAGTCAAAGGAAAGCAAAATGGACACAAGACGGAATGAATGTGGTCAACAACAGGGAGGGAGCAAAAGTGTTATTGAGGGCAGTACAGTACAATTTCTCAGCATTATCTGAGGCTCTCCCAGCTTTGACTCCAGGGAAATCCCCCTCTCCACACAATACAAGGCAAAAGCATGTCTTTCAAACCCATTAAGGTCCTCCGGCACAGAACTGCGGTTCATGCAAATCTCCCAGTGCCAACAACAATCATTAACTGGGAGAAGCAAATTTGTAAACCCTAACCACAGAAAGATTCACACTGAAGCAAAGATTAGAAGGGAATTCTAACCAGTAATGCCCAGCAAAGCACACAGTCTTCTTCCCCCACCAAAGAACACAAATGGAAACGGAAGCAGTTGACAGGCAAATGAGTGATCCCTGAAAAAGCCCGCATGGAAGATGAAACGTTCAACATCTGTGACAAAATCCCAAGTCAGACACCCAAAGATAAAATGTAACACTGAGCCATATTCACTTCTGGTTGGCTTGGCACAGAAAAAGTCTGCATTTCTTTTAAGCAATAAAACCTTTTAATTTTTTATGCTTCCCACACACACACACACACACACACACACAATCCTGTTCTTTGTGTGTGTGTGGGAAGCATCAAATGAAAAGGTTGATGCTGCTCAGAAGACTTCGAGGTGTATATCGGGGGGTGGGGAGACGAGAGAGCAAAAAACCATATAAATGCAATTATCTTAGATGAGAATATTTGGCTCGGAAAATCTGGAGGGGGTCTTGTTTTTGATAAGACAGCCCCGTTTGACACAGGCTGTCACCACTCCAGGCCCCTCCATTGTCAACGCAAGATGAAAGCCCATCAGAAAGTATTAACTTCAGCTTTTAAACATTTTGAAAATGTCAAAGAGGTCACAGCTGATCTGTTCCCTTATCCAGCATATTTACTTGATGAAATTTGTGGTAACAATGTGTTTTTACTTTTCATTCAGGTTGGCCTTAGATCCTGGAAATTGATCACAGGCTAATGAGAGCTGACAAGGGCATAATGTGATTGGCTGGCTTTGTATCAGCCACAGCTGTTGCAGGTACACGCCAGGCGTATTAGAGTTTCGCTAATGGCACTAATTGGGGGCACTGGAAAAAACACCACCACCCAGCCTTGTGGACTTTCCACAGTTGTCACTCAATGGACTCCAGTTGCACCAAAGAGCCAATTTAAGTCATAACACCTTCCTGCATTGACACTGCCTTCGATGTGGCTGCCGAAAAATTGTTACAGCAGTTGAATAGGGCTCCCACCCACCCCCTGCTCTGTCAGCAAAGATACAAAAGGAGGCAAAATGTTTAGCTTGACCTTTAGGGAATGTGAAATGGGCCAGGAAAGTCCTTTAGGCCACAGTACCGTGAGACATGCAAAGGATAGAGGGGTAAAGGGAGTTCTGAAGATGCAGGTAGCTGGCCTCAGCCTCTAAACGGGAAGCTGGGGAGGTAAAAACACATTAAACAGTCCTTGTATCATGCTAATTCTCTTTCACACACACGTGATTCCAAGAGAAAGGTCAGCCCGGCTGTCACTTCCCTCTAACGGATGCTCAGAGACTGTGTGCAGCAAGCGTGAGATATTTAAAAGAAGGAGAAGGAGAAGCCATGATGCAATAGGCCATTTTCTGCATCAACTGTATTAATCATAAACCCTCCATCTTGAGCTGCACGAGAGGTGAGGAGCCAAGCAAGAGGCAGAGGGGCTTCGTTCCCTTCTCTGAGCCAAAGGCATCCTTTCCCTCACCAGGAGATCAGGAGGGGGTAATAATATTAGCCATAATTTATAAGGTAGACGGCCTGGGAAAGAGCTGCAGGCTTAATTGGACAATTGAGTCCATATCCAAGAGGGTGTAGGGAGGAGGAAAACCAGGTGAAATGCAAAGAAAATGGAAGGCGGAGAAAGAAGACAATGTATTTTGTTCCTGGAAAAGGCATTTATCTTCCTCTCTCGGTACACAGATACACAACACACAGACACTATGAGCAGATATTGTCTTCCTGCATCTCAATCAACGGCAGAAAATGAGCAGCCACCACAGCAAAGGGAGGACACAAGATCCTGACACCGCTGTAATTTGTTCTCACAGGCAGATTCTTATTTGTTCCTAATAATTCCAAATATCTTAATTGAGCAAAGTCACATATTTTAGTGCTTGGAGTTAGGGAGACATTCTGCTTAGATTAAGTGAAGGAGGACCTACCTTGCCTTTATTCTTGATTGATTTGCAATCACTTTCATCCGGTGCAATCTTCTCTATGGCGAATGTGAATGAAACAACCTGCACAACGGAGGAGGACTCTGGGTGCTCACTGTAAGGGCTTTTATAGACCTCACAATCTGGGGGAGACACTGGTCACTTGCAAACAACATGCTCTGATAAAGGAAAGGGATGAAGCCCACTTTGACCACTGCTAACCCATTTGGATTAGTAGGATTGGTACAGAACGAAGGGCAACTTACCTATATTGATTACTGGTTACACCTTTGCTAATGTGAGCCACTGTTAAACACCCACACTTCTCCAAGGAAGACCCAGCCTCTGCTAGCATGACCTTCATTTGCCAACCAAGTTCATTCTCCCTCTAAAGATAGCTTGATGGTACCAATGTATTTTCTGGGAGACCTTTCTTCTTCCTACTCCTAAAAAGAGGTTGCTTGTTAACAGGGGAGGAAGAGGTTCCAGCAAGGACCTTGGTCCTGATGTTCTGTTGATGGAGATACAAAAGAAGAGCAAGATCCGAAGAAGCACAGGTTTGGCATTAAAATATCCAAACCTAAATTTGACATAAAGATGGAAGATAGTACAGTTCTGAATTACATTTGGCTACGGATGGGGGCAACCTCTTGTGGGCTACAATAGGGTGTCTCCCTGTGGACAAACTACAGGCCAGCTTCTGCTAGAAGCTTTCAGCACACTTCCCAATGGTTTGTTCTTTATAGCAACTTAATTGGGCTCTAAAATGCTGCACTTGACCTTTGCTCGCAGCCTGACCTTTGCCTCAACTGCTGGCATTTTGACATTGGGCTAGGAAGGTGTGTGCTCAGGCACAAGCAAAGTCACAGGAGTTCCTGGAATATCACCTCTGGAGGAATATCACCTCCCTTCATTTTTCCACTCCAGGACACGATCCTCCCAATAGCGATCCAGGTCCTTCCATGAGAGGAAGCCAGGGGAAGGCCACAAGCCACAGCTGAAAGACCTGGCACAACCTACACATTTCTCCCTCTAATTCAAAACAGGGAATGTAAAACGGAAAGAGTATTGCAAGCTGCATGCTAGTGACAGCCGGCACTCCCAGAGGGGTGACTGCCTTCAAAGACAGGTAAATGAGGGGCCGTATAAAACAGCCAAGTATTGATGTTGTAGTAAAATTCCAGAAAAACACATTGGCAGACAAGTAAATTTGTCACTAATAATTTAATGTAATTTCCCTAAAACGGAGGTAATAGGTACTTGGGGAATACACCTCCAGGGTTTACATCAAATGTTCATGTGGAATATCGCCAAATATTATTTTTTTTTTAATGTAGATGCTTTGTCTGACATGTTAGTTTATGAGAAAAATCATTCTCTTGAAAAGATGAGGTGGGGGGATTGGAGGAGGAGGGTGTAAACCTCCAAACAGGCACAGCCTGGATCCCCCAACCTGCTCCCCACCCACTATAAGATGACAAGCTCCTGCGGTTGATGTGATGCAGAGGTTGTTTGTTGGGGTTTGCCATGCCTTAAAAATGACGGACTCCAATTACCAAATATTAACAAACCAATCATCTTACAAATATGGTTTCCTCTGTCGCTCCAGTTTACAGAGTGTCTAACATCAGACTCATTTGTAACATTCCAAAACAGCATCTTTGTTTCCCTGCTGCAAAGTGACAGCTCAGATCGTGTTTAGTTGCATCCATTCAACCCCCCAACCCTCAGCAAATCAAGTATAAAAAAATTATTTTCTTCTCTGTGTGTTAATGTGATTTCTTTTAAGCTCATCTCTTCAGATGACTCGCTGCATGGGTCCAAGAGATGCTTAAATACCTTTATTAATTAGAACATGTTGCCAGATTCCCCCCACCCATTTTGTTTAAAGCTGTGGGAGGTAATTCACATAGCAGAAACTACCAAGGCCAAAAAGTGCCCCCTCACAATTGCTTCGTTTCCAAGACCTCTTTGCCGTTTACCTTGCAATCGTAACCTAGAAATCTGAATTGCACTGCAAATGCTGCAAGCTTACAATGGAGGTGGTGGGTAAGGCCTGCCCCAGGCTGCAGCAAGGGAAGGTCTGGCAAATGAATGAGGAAGGAGATGGAGAACCAGAAAAATCACAATTTGATACGAAAAATAATAATAATGGTAGAAAGCCCATCATACAGGAAGCTGACAGGGTGACGTGAATTCAGCATACAATGAAAGGCTCCGCTCTCTTAAAAAGAAGCATCCAAATATGGCCACTCTCTGTGTGGGTTTCATCAAATGGGCAAGTTTAATGTTGTTTCTGCTGCCACCGCCCACAAAAGAAAAGCCTGATCCAATTTAGCAGAAGGTCACACGAAGAGGTCTGCATCCACAAGCACACAACCCAGGCTTTCGTCTGCCGTCGGGCCTGGCTGGGCTAGGAGGAGTGATTTGTTAGCGTCATGCCTGTGCCTCCTGCATCCCTTGCGCTGCAGGCAGGCTGGTCTTTGAGATCCTTGCAGTTCAGCCCTATGCAGTGCTGCTGCCTTTTTCTGAGGGTAACCCTCCTTGGCCCTGTAACACCACTAGCTGGGAACCTGGTAGAGAAATGTCCCTGGTGGTCTCTGTCTCTCCAGGGAGATACTTGCCTAGTCTTCCCTGCTCATTTCCCCCAAACAATTGTTGTAATAGAGGGAGACTTAGGAAAAGGCCCAGCATGGAAAAATAATCTTTAGTCCTGTGTTTATTAGTGAAACGCAATCCCATTTTTTCCACCAGGCAATGGAACATGCAACTGAATCAACTCATCCCCAGCAAAAACACAAACCAGTTTAGAAAGAGATGAAACCAACACAGAAACACACTCACAATCCCCTAAAATATGATCTGCCTGTGGCCCAATTAATGGATTGAATGGATTTCTGAAGGCAGGTGAAAGCTAGCAATACCACTGAAGGTTCTGCAAACTAAATAAACTTCAGTGCATTGTTTGAATTATACAGATATATACAGATGGTTTGTGACCATGCCATCAAAGCTGGAACATTTTCAGAAGGCAGCTCCACTTGAAATCCACATTTTTAATCTGTGATTAATGAAATGTTTGATTAATGAAACCAACAAATCCTTTACAATCTCTTAACAAACAGAAGACGTGTCCAGTGTGTTATGATCAACCCTAAGAATTGCAAAATACGAAGGCATCTGGCCCCCACTTTTAAGACTGGATAAATTGAAGTCATTTTGTTACATAATACCATAGGGAATTGGGTGAGCTCCTTTGAGTTTCCTTTTTCTGCTGTGTGAAACTCAAAAAATATCTTTTGGGGGGGGTCTCAGCTATCAAGAACAACAGAAACATACTTTTAAAAAAGCGAACAAAACAAAAGGAAGTTCAGACGCTCATAAAATCAGCTGCTTCAGAAGAAGGAACGTTAAACATGCCCCAGTCTCTAGAGGGCCCTGATGCAACAATGAAAGTCAGCCATACTGTTATTATGATGCTTTATCATTTCAAAGCCATAGGCTGGGAAAACGGGAAAGGCCACCATTGTTAAGGAAATTCACAAAGAAATTAAAATTATTCCCCCCCCCAGCAGCCTCCTTCCTGTAATTTGCTTTCTTCTTGCTGTTTCCTCTTCAACTCATTTATTCACTGGACATTCCTTAAGGCACTGGCAATAGTAAGGGCTCTCCAATTACATTCACCAAGGCAGAAACGGAAACATTTTCGTCGAGCTTGCAACACATTTGGCAAAAAACAAAAACAAAACCCAATTCATTTCACTGTATCACTAATCATTATGGTTTGATAACCTATGGCATGGCTGCTGCACTCCATTCTCCATGTATTACAAATAAAATAAAATACCATTTCTGCCCCTCTCACTGAAACCTAAAGAAGCAGGATGCTGGTCTGGTGCCTCAAAATTAACAGAGAAGGGCTATCTCTGAGGACCAAATTGTGCTGTGGGCCAGCTGCTTAAAATGGGCAACAATTTGCAAGGGGAATTTGCCCTTTCCTTCCCTCCCACAGCCTCATCACTTCCTTTTGGCAAACTGTAGCACAACCACCACCTGCCCATCTGCATAGGGAATGTGGGAATGTGAGCCATTCTGCACCCCAGTTCCTTGAAAGAGAAAAAAATATCTGGTTTCGATTCTACAGTGGGTGTGCTCACAAGATTGTGGCATAAAATGAACCCTTGCCCAGTTGCTGTCTACCTGTGGGCAGATCTTTCTTTCCATGATCTACACAAAGCAACTCTCACACGTGTTCAAAATGCACACAGGTCAGAAAAAAGAACCAGGCAAAGAAAATGAAGATGTGGAGCACCCCCCCTTCTCCACTCTGCCCCCACATTGCAGAATTGGAATTTTGCACAGCAGTGAAGAGTGATATCAGCCGAGCCTTTGTTTAGAGCAGGTAAAAGGAGAACCATGAAGATTCACAGATTCTTAGAGGGGAAATCGGCTCCTTAAAATTGCATTACTGACGTTGATGATTCATATTACAAATAGCGCGATTTCCCCATATAAATCTGAATTTCATTTAAGATATTGCAAGCTTAATAAGAACCGAGGCTTCGTTTTTCCGAAGCAATAAAGAATGAGGCACCTGCCACAAGCCAGAGAGCTGATAGACTGAGGGAGGGGATGGGGAGGAGGGAGGGGGGGGGGAGAGGCTCCAGGCTGAGCAGCCCTGGGACAAGAAGAGTTATGGATTGTTATGGGGAAAAATTAGAGCCCATTCGTCATCTGTTACCAAAAGAGGGACGTCATGGTGTGAATTTAGAACGCGACCCAAAGGCTGCTCCTTGTAGCCTACACAACAACAACTGTGCCCAGGGGGAACCCAAGGAAAACAAGCGCAGCCCACCCAGAGGAAGGGAAACATGGAGGAGCTGCTCCCTCACCACCCCAACTGTCAGGTACAGCCAGGAGGGGGCTGAGCTGATGGCTGCGGGCTGCATTTGAGTGGGTCTCATGCTCAGGCTTCTTCTCCTGTGCAGCTGGACCTCTGGGCTGGGGAGGGGGAGGCACACCAAGCAGAGGAATGTGCTACTATTAGGATCGCTCCGAGGGCCAAAATGTGTGAGCAATGGGTGGTTTAACACTCTCTCCCATGCCATTTCCCTAATAAAAATCATAATCATTAGTAAACCAAAGCTGATGTGTGTGTGTGTAGGATTTGCATGTTCCCTGTTCTCTCTTCCTGCCAACCACCCAAAGATGCAGAGTTTGTGTGTTCATGCAAATGCCTGAGCACGGCTTAGGTACTTATCCATTGCACAAAGGGCAAGGCACCCCAGGGCTACATCGCCTCACTGGCTCCCCAGGGGTGAGCATGCCATTTCTAGCTCCAGGCCGTCCTCTCAATTTCAAGTCCCCCAGGAGCAACAGCAGGTGGTCTCCATTGGTGCTGGCCCACATCTCCTATGCTTTACTTTAGGACTAGAGGGTTAGTTTATGCTAGGGCTGGAACTGGGCTAACCTACAAGCCCAGCCTCAGTCCCCTGAAGAGCTTGGTGTTGCTTCCCCAGGATAGCAGATTTGTGCAAAAAGGCCCTAACCCAGAGGACTGGCACTAGGGCTAAAGCACCCCCCTTTAAGCCCCCCACACACTCAGAGGTGCTGTGCCCTCCACTGCACGTGAATGAAGGTTGCCTTCTACAACAGTGTCAGAAAATGACAACAGCCAGGAAATTGAAAGCCAGGAGGAGACGGGGTCCCTTTGTGATTTGCACAAGTGCCGAAAAGAGGAAGGGAGGGTCAGGGAGGCTTAACTTTTAATTTCCTGGTTGTTATCAGTTTAAATAACAACCTGACTGTTATTTAAATACATTTCCCCTTTTTCTCATTTCTTTTTTTTTGGGGGGGGGGGTTAAAGAGAATTTGGAGAAAAGGGAATTACTTTTTTTTTTCTTCCAGTGACAGAAGATGAGGAGGGCTGGTAGTTTGCTTTTCGTATGCATCTCCGTTTCCTGGCATTTCATATGAATATTTTATGTACCTTTGCAGACACTATTTGCACACTGAGCCACGGCTGCTGAAGCAATGCTCACTTTTGGCTCAAGAGCCCCTCACTATCCAGTGGTGAAAGACTCGTCCTGCTGGCCAGTTTCCCCCCAAAGCAGGAGACCCTGGTGAGCCACAACTGCTAAGCTTCTCCCTGTCCCACTGCCTCCACTTTTGTCCCCTGGGAAAGGCACCTTGGGTGGATGTCCTGAACAGAAAGCACTTGACAAGGGTTTATATAACACACGCTCTCACACACGTTGCCCTAGAACCCCAGAGCCTGATCAAGCAGACCCATTTCTCCTCCTTCCCCTACCCAGGATACTCCCCGCAGACTCCCCTGATCCTCTGTCTTCAGAGTTTTCACCAATCTTTCTAAGGGGTCATCCACACTTTTACTTGACCTGTATTTTGATTGTATTGCGTACCAATTAATTTCTCCGGGTCCAAGAGCTTTTCTCATTGTTCTGCGGCTGTGCCTTGTGAAAATCCAATCTTACCTGCTGAATTGAAACTCTGTTAAGCAAAATCTCTCTTCAGATTTTCTGCGCATCTGATAAGATCCGATTCAGCGGGTAAGATCGGGTTTTCACAAGGCACAGCTGCAGAACAACGAGAAAAGCTATTGGACCCAGGGGATTTAATCAATACACAATATGATCAAAATAAGGGTCAAGAGAAAGTGTGGATGAGCCCTAATATAAAATACATAATTCTGGAACTTGGAGACCTTTCCCCCAGCAAGTCATGTGAAGTTGACAATGTTATGATAAAGAAGGTAATGGCACAAATATCCCCACCTTAGTAGGGCGTAGTAGCAACATTTGTGCATCACCACAACACAAAATTATTGTATCTGAGAATCAGTACTGAATTCCCACTTTCGGGATTTTCTCCCACTGTGTGAAGGGTTCTATGTGTCATAGAATGGGAATGGGACTCTAAGCAAGAAAGCCTGCATGCACACACAAGGAAAATACAGAGGTGTGTTGCAGGGGTGCACACGTTGAAATCTAAGCACATTTTCCTTAAAATAAAAATACATGGGAGGCTAGGAGCCAAAATGGGAGCCATTTGGGGACCCAGGTAGATTTCCTGCTGACTGGGAGGCTCCTTAACCTGCTACCTGGCTAAGAAAATAGTATTGAGTCAAGTCCTCTGAAACGGAGAGCAACTGTTTCTCCCTTTATTTTAGGAGGGGGAATTTTTGAAGCTTGAACTAAAACAGCTCAAAATCCTTAGGCTATTTCTCCCCACTGGACTCAGTCAAAAACCAGAGGAGTTTTTAACCCGGCCCTGAAGCTCTTCCTGTGGAGGTGCTGGGAGGGCTGGGAGCCCCCTTTCCTCCCACATGGGCAAGGCAGGAGCCAGGGCTGCTGCTGCAAAAAAGCCACGTTGGCTGGTGCAGATAAAAGGCCCTGCCCAACCAATCAAGTGGGCAAGTCTGGTCCGTGCAAGAGCCCTACATCCAGGACTTCTGAATCCAGGCAGCACAAAAGGGGATTTTGCGAGCATCTTGCCATCCGGCTGCCCTCGCCTTTGCTCTTCTCTGCAGGCTCACACCTTGCCAAGTGCCATTCAGTTTGGCTTTCTTTCTGGAACACCTTGATCTCCTTCTCCATTGTGCCTCGAAAGCTGCTCCGCTTTCATGTCAGACTTCGAGGCTCACTAGGCCGGTTTTGTGCTGCTTCTGCTGCTGCTTCTGCTACTGCTGCTGCTGCGAGATTTTTGGTTGCTTTTTATTTGACCTGTAATCTTGCTTTCCTTTGGAGACCAGAACGTTTAATGTTTGGAAGGGAATCTGCTTCGTGTCTCTGAAAAGCCAAAAATCACCTTGCAGGTTTATGTTAAAATAAAAATAAAAAGGACATTCCTCCCACATTTTGGGGGAAAAAACCATTTGTTCCCTGTGGAGAAAAAATCCACTGCAGAACAGGGATAGTCAAGCAGCAATGACCCCTGTCACACTGCAAAAGGAATGAGAAAAGACTCCTTTGGGTTTTGTTGGGAGGAAGGTGGGATATAATCATCATCATCATCATCATCATCTGTCCTGATTTGGACACTGTAGGTTCATATCTCCTTAAAAAAAAGCAACTGTCAGACAAATACAAAAATATCCAGACCGGGCTGCAATACTATGTCCAATTCCTCAGAAGCAAACCTCCAAGAGGTCAGGCACCAGGGGCTTTCCCAGCTCAGTGGTATCCTCCTGCCCTGCCTTATCACTCAGTCATGATGCAATTTCCTTCCCACTAACAATCCAAGAAGATGCTCACAGAAAAAGTCTGAGAATTGTTCTAATACCTCCAGGGGTGGATGATGTGGAGCTTTAATCTGGCATAGTCCCTTTTAAAGATCCTAAATCGGGGGGGGGGGGAGCGCAATAGTGAGAGTGAGAGAGGCAGAGATAGGGAAAGCTCCCCTTTGTGTAAGCCTCCCGCTCCCCCCAGGTAAAGGAAGGACAACTCCAAAAGTCTTTGTTTTTTTTCCAGCCTGACAAACGGGCATGAAATAAGAGGCTGACATCGGCCTCTGCAGGTCATTCAAGTCAGGCTGCTGCATGTCAGAATTCAAACTGCTTCATCCATCAATGGCAGACCAAAAATTAACGTGGCTTGGAAACTCTGCAGCGAGACAGTAACAGCCCAATTGAAAGTCTGACCTTCCAAGAACGCTGGGGTGAGATGGAAAAAGATGGAAAAATTATTTCACGCCCTGCACCAAAGCGGACAATGCAGAGCAGAGAGATTTTAAGTTACACACACACACAAAATTCCGTTCAACCCCCAGCAAGCAATTTAATTGTCAAAGCTTGGTGTATATTGATATTTTAAGCAGTAGAACCCGCATTCAGCATACACAAGCCTTCAAGTGCTTTCTTGGGTAAATCAGGATTTTTTAAAAAATCAAATTGATTCTGCATGCAGATTTCAATTGCTGGACCAGGATACTCTGTGCTGGGTGCACACAAGACGCAAGACCTTGCTTGCCGCTAAGGGGGGCAGGATCTAGGAAGGCAACTGCCCAGCCCCCTGATTCGCTGGATGGAAGAACTACTTAATGGTGCTTGAAAGAAAGAGGGCTCCCTTCAGTGACAAAGACAGGCTGAGCAGTCCTAAGAGCTGGTTCCTTTGAATTACTGCAAAATCCAAACAGGGCCAAGTGAGGGTTGGGAAGGTGGGTCCATCTCAGCACATTCCTAAGCCTGACTACCAGACATGAGGCAAGGAAAGACAAGACCTCACCTCAGTGCTCCTTGAGTGCCTGCCGCTTTGTTCCAGGCATAAACACAATCTGAAAGAAGAAAAGGGCTGGAGAAACCAGTTACTGGTGATGGTGAAGGAGCCAAACGTCTGGAGGGTTGTAAAGCCCTGCTTGTCTTTGCACACGGCTGGAGCTGGGAGGTGCTACAATTTGCAAACATGCAGAGAAGAAAATATTCTTTGTGGGAGCACAGTGAAGCTCTGCAGTCATGAAAGACAATTCCTGCAATTACTTGGAGGGGATTATTTGCTCATTTTATAGTTCTGTCAACTGCAGTGTTACTGGAATATCAGGCTGTTGTGATTTACCGGGTTGGCATCCTTAGCAAGCATCAATGTGTAGCACAAATACCAATGGAGACAAGACCATAGTCCCCCTTGCACACGCCCCCAAACTGAGGGGTGGGGAACCAGACACTAGGGGGCCTAGTATGGGCTACAGTGCCATTCCCCGCCCCGCCCTTCCCCGCCCCTCCCTCCCTGTGTGTGTGCCAAGTGAGGTTGCTTCCAAGCAATCACTATTCTGTTAGTGAGATTCCAGAAATTATGCAACAAATTCCAGGTGCATAATTAAAGTGGATTTGGCTTTCTTGGGCACCCAACTTGCTTCCCCCTTAAACCAGACTTTATGTAATAAGGAAAATATTGTGGAAATGTACAGGAAAGTATGAGATGTCAATGGTTGGACAGACCTCCCCACAAATGAATAAAAATGAATGCTCAGCAAACAGCAAATATCCTACAACATCCCCACAAACTTGGAGCAAGCATATCAGGCTGGGTGCTCCATGAACAGGTTATCTGGAAGCAATCTCAGAAGGAAAGCAGGAGCATCGTGTCTAAATTGGGAGCTCCTGGCCCTGGAAAAAGAGGGAATGAGAACTTGAATGGAACACTAGAGCTAATAGTCTAAGAGGCATAGAGACGAGTGCCCCCCCCCCATAACAGGCTCTCTCCAGAAATACAACTCCCAGAGCTCCTTTGTTCCTGCTGGCATTTCCCAGGTACAGACAGGAAGTGGCAACATGGTGTGGTAGCAGAAGGGAGGGACAAGCCCAGCCATTGCCAGAGTTATGCTGGTTCCAGGACTGGTGAGAGGAAGGATGCCAGTGCTGCTGATGGGATTTACAAGCCTGAAGATGGAAAGGAACAAATGCACCAGGCCTCCAGTTACCAAAGTGCACAGAACTGCTGACACTAAATCCCAGGGATGGGGTCTAAAGGGCACCTGCCACTTGTGCTCAGGTAATATACATACCTGCCGTGTCTGACTATAAATTCAAGTTTAGCTGCCAGAAACAAAAGGAGCTTAAACAGAGGCATTTAACGAAGCTAAAGGGCACCCATCAGTCCTCTCATTTAAAAAAAGGAGACGTGGGATTGGTGAGAGTGAGGGACAGAGAGCCCCTGTGACCCCTTTATCCCAGGCCAAGACAAAGGAAGCCAGGGCAATGCTCTTGCAGTAGCATTTGGGAGTGACCAAGGCTTTGGGTCATCTGCTTTTGCTCCTCCAAGCTACCAGCTTTTGGCCGATGGAGCAATGGCAAGCCTGCACTCTGGCCCCTTCACTGACAGGCTTAGTGCCACAGCAGGCAGCAGAATTCATCAGTGGAATTTCCAAGACTCAGAATTCCAGCCACATAATGAAATGGGAAACAACCTTCAGCAAGGTCTGGATCAACTCATCCAGCTGCTCCAGTGTCAATAGTGTGTGTGTGGTCGAGGAAGGGCTTCCTGGCTCCCCCTTCCCTTTGCTCATGTGGTACCTCTGCATGTCCAGGGTCTGGCCTGAAGAAGGCACAGGAGGACACCACCAGTGTCTGGTCAGTGCCTGGGCCACCTGGGAGCCATGCTGTCTTCTGTTCCATGACAGAAGCAGGGCAGAAATTTGAGAAAATCAACAAAAATCAGCCATCTTTGCACATCATTTTCAAAGTGCACATTCCCGTTTTACACAAAATTTGAAACAAGTCTCTATACCCCGTTCCTTTTCTTAACACTGAGCGTATCTATCAAAATAACTGAGAGCTCATTTAATAAAAATAAAGGGATGCAAATGAGTCAGAATCATAAAAACAATTAGATTGATGGACACGTCTTGGTTGCTGTAATTACCAAAGGTGTATCATTTTCTAAACTCTCGTTGCATTAAATGGGTGACATACATTTATTGAAAGTAATTAGCACCTTAGTGACAATGATTTGATTGACTGGATTTCTCTCTGTGTAATAAAATCCTGCTGCATTGGCAACTGTATCCAGAAAGACAGACAGCATGAACATTTTGCTGATTGTCGCTCATTATTATCACTCCCAGAGGCAGAATTATGTCAGGGTCTCCTCTAGCTACGGCAAACCTTGGGGGCAGGCGGGGCAGGGTAGATGGGAACCATGTGGCTCCTCGAGTGGGTCTCGACTCTCCCTAGCGGGCCACACATGGCTCTCCTTGGGCTGCAGCTGCCCCAGGCTTTGCTTCTCTACTTTCCCCAATAGCCCATTATTACCCTCCAATCACTTCCTCTTCCAGCCTACAGCTTTTGTGGGTGGAGCTGCTGAACCTGCCCTTTCTTCTTTTCCCCGTTCTGTCCACCTTCTTCACATCCTCCTTCAGACAGACCTTTGCCAGCTTATTAGGCCACCTGCTATGCTCAGCTTCTCCAGGCAGCATGTCTCTCTCTGGTGGAGATGTTACATCTGGGAGGAAGCCAAGAGGCTGTTCTCTGACAAACTCAGGTCTACCTGATCCTAGTTCTGGAGAGGAACTCCAGGCAAAAACATTTCAGCTGGAACCCTCTTATGTAAGACCAAAGGCAAGTGGGACTGTAAGAACAAGTCATCTTTGAAGGCACACACCACCCACACCAATGAACCGAGAATCAAATTTCTGTTTGTAAATCCATAAGATGCATGCTGTTTGATGAGAATCTCACATAAAGGTCTCATTAAAAATAAATAAATAAATGGAGACACTATTTTTGTCTCCGTAGAGTCAAATCTGGCCAAGCCTTCCACAGCAGCTGTTCAGCTGTCAGCATTTATCATTATGGCCAACATTAGACTTTGAACTTTCGCCCCAGATTTAAGACCTACCACAAAAAGAGCCATAGTTTTATTATGATAAGTCATTGGGGGGGGAGAATATTGCTGGGTGGGTAGAGCATCTGCTTTGAATGCAAAAGTCCCGGGTTCAGTCCTCAGCTTCTACAGGTGGAGCTGGGAGGGAAGGACCCCTGTCTGGAAGCCTAAGAACACAAGGAGAACCCTGAAGCTGGATCTGACCAAAGGGGGCCCATCTCACACCACTAAGGCTTGCGCAGGTCTGGGCCTGGCAGGGAAGCTGGAGGCATAAAATTTTGAATAACCCTGCAGTCCACAAAGGTCAATTCCTGTCCCCTTCTGGGATTTGAGAAGAACCTTCTTTGGCTTGTATTTGGTTCAGTTCTTGCATGAAGTGGTGGATCCTGGAGGTGGGGAAAGGGCCCACACACTGGACCTCTTAACAGGATGCAAGTATTGGATAAAGGCAGGACAGGCAGAGAAGGGAGCATAAGAACACAAGAGCCCTGACTGACCAGACCAAAAAGGTGGGCCCAGCATCCTTCTCAAAGTGGCTAGCCAGATGCCTCCAGGAAGCCCACAAGCAGGACATGAAGGTCACAGCCCTTTCCCATTGCTTCTCCTTGGCAACTGCATTCAGTGGTAGACTGCCTTTGAAACTGGAGGTTCCACCAAGCAAGGGAATGCAAGATCTTACCCTGTCTCTTGTTTTCTCTCCATAAGTCCTCTTGGCTATATATGGGCAGCGCCCCAAACACATCAACACGCAGCTAAAAAATTATGAGCAAGAGCTACCTGTGTTGTGCATGTCCTCTGCTTATAATTCCTGTCACCCAAACTCTGTGGTCCTCCTGTATGAGGAAACTAGCTGACAGAAAGAAGCATTAGGAGTGGTTTGACTACGCCTTTAAAATGCCTTAGGCCCCGAGGGCCAGTGGAGAAGATGTGCAGCTCCTTTTCATGGGCATTTCTCTGTCTCTGCAATTAAACAGCAACAACATCTGTTTCGCAGGCATTTTTCTGGAAAAAGCTGAGACCATTTGGGGAGCCGTCCTGCTGCATGGATATGATCTGGAAGCTTTGGCTTCCCTCTCCAGAGCCAAATGTCTTTTGCATTTACAAAAACAGGCCTCCATTCAGTGATGGCAGAAACCACTTTCCATTTTCCCCCTGAACTCCCCAAGGAAGGAGTGGGGACCTCATGTCAAAAACCCTCACTTTAGAACAATAAATAAATAAACCAGCCAAAGCCTTCCCGAGGCTGGCCAACTGTAGCATAAGTAATTCAACAGGCCGAGAGATGCCAGATAAATTTGATTACTATAAAAGATGGGAATATGTTGCTTTCCTCTGAGAATTCGCAGAAGGGGTCAAAAACAAAGCAGCACTGAAAGAGAACGATTTCATGTTGCTTCCCATTCAAGGCAAAAATCCAAAGGCAGCTCTGTAGAAAGGGGCTCATGGACAGCCCCATACCCAGGGTTTTCTTGCCACTTGGGCACCAGGAGAGGGAGGCGGAAGTCCTACTGTGGTGGAGGAGGCTCACCCTCACGAGTCAAGCTTAGTGTGGTAGACAGGGAAAAGAATACAACACAGAAATATGCAATATCCTGCCTGAGGTTGCTCAGGAACTCCCTCCTAGAAATAGGCCAGTGCCAGAATTTCTTGACTCTGGGCTGGGTCAACGGTGCAGCGACCCCCACTAGCGCCTGGGGAGGAGCCTTTTTTAAGAGATCGCCCAAAGTTGTTGAGCTATTTTACTAATTAAATTTCTATACCACCCTTCATCCAAGGCTCACAGGGTGCTTAGAAGCAGTGCTCCCCATTTTTAATCTGCCATTCTCCAAAGAGAAAAGCAATTCAGCTTACAAATAACTTCTTACAGCACTGAAAGATTCCAGCATCACTAAACGGGAAGAGATCCTATCCAGGTAAACAGCATCGAACAACAAGGGTACATAATTCCCCCCCCCCCATAGCTTTTCTCCTGCCCTCCTAACTTCCCCTCAAAAGGGAATTAGCCTAGCAAAACTAATACGCAGAAATCTGCTACAGTTGCCAATGATCCTTGCATTTCAGCAGCATAATTAATTGCTTTCCACCACAGTGTTATTTAACAAACACCCGAAACCTCACTGGGAGGACGCTGTTGTGCAGACCAGGCCTGCTACAGACAGGAGTGGTGCCTGGCCCAGAGACCTACAAAATGAACAAAAGGCTCCTGCGGATTTTAATAAGACCGATCCACTTATGGATCATAAATCACACAGAAACCCACTTGCAGCCCAGAGATTTGGGTTTTTTTTAGCAGGGGTGGGGGAAGGTGTTTCTGCACACCACTCTTCTGCCCATCCCATTTTGCTTGTTCTCTTCAAGGAGAACATTTGACATTCTTGCATCAAGCAGAAAGGCAAAGGATGCAAAAGATGGGTGGGAATCTTTGCATCCTAAGCCTGGAAACTGGGAAGAGCATAATCGCACCACTTTTATTATGGCTAGATTAAAAGCACAGAGCAGACAATGGTGTCCCCTCTAAACAGCTCAGGCTGCTTTGGGCCGCCTGGGCCACCAACCGCCGTCACCCACAGAGAGGTTTGCATGAGTGGATGTGTGCATATTTTGGTATGATGAGAAACGGCTGTGCAGCATTTTCAAGGCACACTCATGTTCATGATGGACGATACATTTAATGTAACTGTGGGACCACTCACACAGTTTTCAGAAGCTGGGACAGGTGGCAAGGCAAAGTGAGGGGCAAACTGCCCAGAGAGTGAACTATGTCAGGTGTTGCTTCTTTCAAACAAAGCACTTCACAAGCCACACAGTCAACATACACGTTTGGTCAAAGGCCTGCAGCTCACAGAGATCAGTCAGAATTCACCGTTGTCCACAAAGCACATCAGACGGACAGCAGTAAAGGGCACAGCAGTGAAATTAATTCAAGATGACAATTGTACATTATGTTGTGTGCATCCTAATTGTGACACTTTCTCGTGAGAGGGAGGTTAACAAATGAAAGCAACAGAAACAGAAGTCAGGCTTCAGAGAGATTTCCCGCAAAGGTGGTTTAAAGAGCTCTGCTCCTTTGTGAGGAGGAGGAGGAGGAGGAAGAGGAAGAGGCTGCAGCAGCAGGAAAATGGCAGCCGCTGATAAGGAACACTGGAATTTGGAAAGAAAAATGGGAAGGGGGAGGTTCTGCATCTCAGGAAATATTAAAACGAATAGCCCAGGGGTGGCCCAGATTCACCGTGTGCGTTGGGCAGGAATTTTTCATTTCATACATCATTTGCAACTTGCTACAGCCGACCCACAAAATCAGTCCAGAAAATGAAATGTTGAAAGGAGAGACCCTTTTTTCTGCAGCCTTTTGTGCAGCTACCCCTCCCCTTCACCAAGTTGCAGGTGATCTGGGCTGCTGCTGCCTTCCTAAGATTTCTTGGGCAGTGCAAAACGAGACAAAGACATTGACAGCTTTAAGCCAAGCCTTTCCCCATGTTTCCTTTGAATAATGATTATGGTAATGATGATGGTGATAAATAACGAAAGCAGCAATCAATGTGGTCACATCATATTTTATGTAGGGGGCTTCCCCCACCCCTACTCTGGCACACATGCTTCCAAAGGTTTTTATACTAAAATTTTAACACACAATCACAAATGAAGGACCACTTGAAAACCTCTTTCTAAAAAAGGAACCAGCAAGCAAAGGGAAAAGACACATCAAAGGTAAACAGCAGTAGTAGATCCTCTACAATCAACTAATCCCTTACTAAAGTGGGGAAGGAAAGAACAACAGTGGTGAAGAGCCACCAGGGGGCTAGCCAGAGATCAAGGTTCTGTCACCTGCTAAGGTTAAGGTGCACCCCCCCCGAAACAGCTGTCCTTAACTCTTGGCCTACCTGGCAGCAAGTCAGTATGTCAAGTCCCCAATCTGGGATCAAGCCACATGTCCAAAGTCCAAACTGCAGCATGGTCCTGGAGCATCCAAAGTGAGGCCCAGCAACATGAGCAGACACAGCACCTCAGCTCTGCTGCCCTTTTATACTTTGCAGGCTGATTGCAGCATCTGGGCTTGATGAGGCATGTGACCCTCAACTGTCCCAAGCCTACTCCAGCTGAGGAACCACACACTTTCTCCCAGAGACAGCAAGCCCCACCTAGTCATCTAGTCTAGTGAGCTGGGCTGTGGGCGCTTGCCTACCTCAGCCTCCTGGAGTACTCTGCCTGCTGCTTCCTACGCCTCAGAGCGTTTGTGGAGACAGGGGCCCCTCTGGCTCCGGTGATGAGTCCTGCTGCTCTGATTCATGTGCATTGACACCCCCCCCATCCCTCACCATCCTCCACCACCATCTGAGTACTTCCTACACCAACCTCTCCTTGAGATATTTGAAGATGGCTATCATATCTCCTCTCTGTCTCCTCTTTTCCAGACTAAACATACCAAGTTCCTTCAAGTGTACCCCATAAGGCTTCTAGACCTTCTGTTCCTTCTAGACCCTTGATCATCTGACCCTTGATCATCTTAGTTGCCCTCCTGTACACATGTTCCAATTAATCAATTTCTTTCTTAAAGATATGATAACCATCTTCAAAAATCTAAAGGGTTGTCACATGGAACATGGAGCAAGCTTGTTTTCTGCTGCTCCAGAGGGTAGGACCCGAACCAATGGCTTCAAGAAATGAGATTCCAACCAAACATGAGGAAGAACTTTCTTATAAGAGCTGTTTGACAGTGGAACAGACTCCCTTGGAAGGTAGTGGACTCTCCTTCATTGGAGGTTCTTAAGCAGAGATTGGATGGCCATCAGTCAGGGATTCCTGCATTGCTGGGGGATGAGACTAGATGAGCCTTGCAGTCCCCAACTCTACAATTCTATGGCTCTAAGAAGAGGACAGACCAACAGAGCCTGCAAGCAGAGCATGAAGGCATCACTTATCCCTTGCTGTTTTCTTCCAAGCAATGCAAATTCAGAGGTAGACTGTTTCTCAATATGAAGGCTCCATTCAGCTATCCAGTGGCTGTGAATTCCCAAAATCAATCATGCACTGTGTGAAGAAATAGCTAAATTATTTTTGTCTGTTCTGAATCTATTGCCCATCCACTTCACTGTATAACTCTGAGTTCTAGTGTCAAAAGAGGGGGGGAGCTTTTCTCTGTTCTACTGACTCCTCACCTTGAAGAATTTTATAAACCTTGCAGACAACTTCTTTTCACTTCCTCCCCCAAATTAAAAAGCTCCAAATGTTTCAGCCTTTCCTCTTAGGGGAGGTTTTCTGCACCTTTTCTGCACCTTTCCCAGTTATGTGATATCCTTTTTGAGATACCCAAAGTGCTCACACAGGTTAGGCCGCCCTGAGTAAGCCACCCTGAGACTAGCATTTCAGCCCCTTTTCTAATACTCCCAAGCATGGAATTTGTTCTGTTGTATTCCAGAAAGTTAGTCTCTGGGGTTACTTGAAAGGCTTTCAAGTTAGTAAAAGCACAGTATATCAAGAGAACATATTCTAAAATTGCAACCACCCTGCTTTTGATGATGGCGCAAGTTTCAATATCACCTTCAACTGCCGTGCAGTTCCATCAGAACAAATTAAGAGGTGCTTATTCTGTTGCAAACAGTTCTTGACCACATTGCTTAATAATAAACAACATGTTAAAACAGCATCTCAAAAGACAAACTATAAATATTTCAAGTCATAAAATCTAGGCATGGTCTGTTTTGGGGTCCCATGTCCAGAAAATCCGCACAGGCTCATCAACTTCTGTGCCTGGGGACTTCGCTAGGTTGTTGTGTTGGCATCGAAAACAATGCCCACGACCTATTTGGGGGTTAATCTGACTAAATGGAACCTATTTGTTGTTTATTATTTATAGAAGACTCACTTCCGATTAGTTTTTCTGCAGGCGTCTGTCTTTGTGCAGGATCACTAAGTGTCTCCAAGCCAGCCCCCAGCGCAAAGCCAGACCCAAAAATGACAAGTGCAACTGTATCACACTGTCCACAGCCTTCTATAAACAGCAAGAGGGAAGAGAGGCTGCGTGAAAGGCGCAACACACAGTGGCTTAATGCATTGACCTTCCGTGTCTGATAATGACAAGTTCAAGTTCCCGGAGTTGGACGAGAGGCGGAACTAAAGTAAGTGCACTCAAGCAACAAGCCCTCCTGGTCTGTGAATGCAGCGTTAGCAGAGCCGGCCGCCAAAGGCTCTTCTGCGGAAGAACCTGCCTGCCTCTCATCCCTCTCGGGTTTCTCTAAATGCTCCATTCACCATGCTGTGCAAGGCATAATAAAACAGATCCAGCCCTTGCTTAACATTGGCCTCACACATGCAGGCTCCAAGGGGCCACAGAGAGAAGTGGAGAGGTGGGGGGGAGCTGCCTCCAGCCACCCACCCCACAGGAAAGGGACATAGGCATGTAGCCTTTGGAGGGGCTCAAAATTTCTATTTGCAGCAATTAATTCATCATTATTGTTAGAGAGAAGGGGGAAGGCCAGATGCAATGGAGTGGTCACGTGTATGCTTTATTCTTTGTGGAAACGTAAGCTTCCATGTTTCTTTTTAACAATTGCTAAAGTGCTGTCTAATGGGAGAACAGGGTCAATTACCTATTGAAGCCCTGTTTGGTATGCAGAGTGAGCAGCATTTAAGCTAGTGAACCTTGGTTAGAGAGCAGACCCTTCTTGTTGCAATCACACACACATAGAGAGAAAGATGCTTGTACACAAGAAAATAATAAACTTCTTGTTAATTGTACGACGTACATAACTTGGATAGAGTTCTAGCCCCAACTAGTAATGAGAAGAACAAGGCAGCCATGCTTGCTCCTTTGTTCTTTCAGAGGATAGTTAAATAGGACCTCTCATCATGAGGTAAGAGAGAGAAGTGTGAGAAAGAGAAGGAAGAAGCTGTCAAATAGGATGCAGCCTAGTAGTTATCAGTCTGAACAAGAAGGAGAATCTGTCTCATACACTTTTAAAATGGTTTAAGTTGGTGGACATCACTCCGTCTTGTGGCAGTGAGTTCTATAGATTAACTGTGTGTGGTTTGAAGAAGTACTTCTTTTAGTCTGTCCTGAATCTCCCTAGATGCAGCTCCAGTATCACTTTTCCCGAGCTTTAAGCACCTCTGAGCACTTTAGAGACCATTTTAAAACAAAGCAGTGTTTTAAGCAGCCCCTTAGCTACAGCCCTTGCATGCTGGCAGGGGGGGGGGGAGAGACACCTTCGGAATGTTGCTATTTTGCAGGAGGGATTCAAGTGCGTAGCGGAACTTAAGGTTTCTGCAATTAAAGTTTATTAGAGTGCTCTGTTGCCCTAGCACAACAAATCAACTTTAAATCAAAGCAGGCTTTTTGCAGTTAGGAAAGTGATGGGGAAAAGAACTGAGAAGTAGGGGGTTGGATAAATAATTCACTAGAAAATGTGTTGACATCCCGCAAGCAAATCAGGATGGATGCTCACTGATGAACAACCTCCCTGCAAACAAATTAGACAAAATAAACATCAGTCCCTAACCACTAAGTAAGTATTGTACAAGCAAATCAGGATGAAAGATGAATCAACAGGGTGTCTGGAGGAGCTAGGAATTTAACTGCCACCTGGCTGAAGGCTGCTTGATGGAAATACTGGCAGAACATTCGCATTTATTGTTGTTGTTGAATTTACATCTTGCCCTTCTTCCCACAGGAGCCTAGAGCAGCAAACAAGAAATTTGGAGTGGTTTTGCTACTTGAAAATACCTGGAGAATATACAGTCTGTTCTCTCTGCAGCGCCAGGCTTCTCAATGAGAAAACTATAAATCATAGGCCTAAATTATACTTTAATTATAAATGCCTTTCCATCTAATGCTGTCCAGGACCTTTTGCCCTCCTCCATAATTCTAAAAAATGACCCCTGTCATAATTCCCTTCACTAGAATAATATGGTGGGATCTAATCCTGAATCCTGTCGTCTTACAATTTAATATAAGAGGTAATTATTATTATTACTATTATTCAAAAGATAAAATTGCAGATATTGCAAACATTCTGAAGTGTAAAAAAAAGGAGACTTGGTATGTGGGAATTTCTTTTCTTTCAACCCAAACAGAGATTTTATATAGAGGTTTTAGGATTTATGGAAAAAATATTAGAGGTGAAAAATTATTTGTAAGTGGAATTTATCTGCAATAATTTACATGGCTTTTAGAACGGACAATAAAATGTACATGCGTGCACACAAATTATCTTTGCCCCCCACTATAAACAAGAGAATAAAACCAAGCAGACATTTGTGGGATGGGAGATTCTGTGGGACCTTGAACGCCACTCAAGGAATGCTCAGGAAAGATAGGAAGGGCTTTGCATTGTTCATCCCAGCACCAGTTCTGGCCACCCACACAGATTTCCACTGCCGTAGGGCACCACAATTGATCTGGCCTACAGGCATTGTGGGATAGCTGGGCCTACCCAGAGATGCCTGCTTAAAATGCTAGAGAGAGAGGAGAGACTGTAGCTTTGCATGCAGTAGGTTTCAGGTTCAATCCCCAGTTGGCATCTCCAGGTAGATGAGTATGAGGTTCCAGGGCAGGTTACAACATTAAAACACAATATTGAAAACAATTAAAAACAACTTAAAAGCATAAAAATAAGGCAGGTCCTAAAAATATACACCTCAAGTGTCGAAAGCCATGCTAAAAAAAACCCAAGATAGACCAGGAATCTGGCTCAGTATAAGGCAGCTTCCTCTGTTCCTATATCACAGAAGAAGAAGCAGTGTAGTTGCCAGCTGTTGTGTCCAGGACCTACCACAGAGCAGACACAAGCAGGTTGGCGTGGGGGACATGGTGCTGGACTGAAGCCACCTGGGAGCAGAGCCAGTGCAGATTGGAAACTGGCCCTGGGATGAGGCAAACATGTCCTAAAAATGTCACCTCATGAAGCTGCCCTTGTCCATGTTCCTCCACTGTATGAGGGGTGGGTGGACAAGTGCCCAGACTTTTTGGGCCAGGGCATTCTCAAGCTCCCCCAGGCCTCTTCACTGATCACTGGATGATGGTCAGCAAAGCCAGCTTAGTTTTTGCAGGCTTCTTCTCCTAGGGGGTTGTTTTTAGTGGCCATTTTGCTTTTGCTACGGTTTTTACAATTTATAGATCCTGTTGGGTTTCTTGTAGGTATGGGTGTGGCATTGTTTTCAGTTGCTTTTACAACTGTAAGCCAACCCCTTCCTTGACTACAGTTTAGAAAGTCAGGGTAGAACTAATAGTAAAAATTAAGGAAGAAGGTACCCCAAAGCAAAGGAGAATGAAGTAGAAAAAGGATACAAAAAGAAAGGGCCAAAGCCTACCCAAAAGATGGTGCTTAAAGGGGGGGAAATGACAAGAAATTCACTGGCTTTTCCCTCACACAAATCTAGTATCAGATGAAAAGGACTCTTTTCCTTCTAGGCAAATTAAAAAAAAACCCCACCACCGCCCTCGCACACATGCCATAAAATATCCTAAGTGACAGGTTCAATAGCCCAAAGAGGACAGGGCCAGAAGGGTTATTGGGAAGTGGGGTTCTCCAAAGATAATTATGGCCCCAGCTTCCTCTTCCTAGTTGAGAGAGTAGTCAGAACGCAGCTACACAGTTCAATAAAAAACCTCACCACAAAGCGCAGAGAGGAGAGTTTACTGCCTCTTTGTTTTTGCTTTGGGAGCAGTTCATTTAAGATGTAATAAATTGGAGGGTTTTCTGTCCCTCCATAAATCTAGAAACAGTGCAAATGAGGTGCTCCTCATTAGGAAGAAAAGAATAGGGGCTCCCCAGACAGCGACAGGCAGTGCCAACATTAAAGCACTCATTAAAAGGCGCTGTCCTCTCTTAAACAAGGGGTATAATTTAATAACATGGCACAGAGTGTGGCATGGTCAGGGTGAGCAGAGAGGAAAGAGAAGAGGGGCTCTCTATTTCCCAAAATAATGCAGGGGGGTTGCTTATGGAAAGCAGAGGAGACCTTGCACCCACCTGGATCATTTCATGATTATTACTGAGATTTATGGTCCTCGGGAGGCTCACGGCAGGTGCCCGACTGGAGTTCCAAACAAACATATCCACATCAGATGTGAAAGCAGAAAAGGGAGGGGACTTTGGGTCACCTGTGCTTCTCCCCCCCCCCCCGGGGGCAGTCCTATTTGCCCTTAGGACCTTGAAAAGGAGCAAAAGACCCCTCATCAGAGAGAGAGGGATGGCAAAAAGCACCTCTTTTTCCTACAACGAGGAGCTGCTTTCAGCCACTCTCCCTCCCCTGGAATTATCCAGACGGCTCTGGTTTCCCCTTTGCCTTCGTTTGCTGCTTAGGAGTGAGACATCAGCAGGATTTAAATGTATGCATAAAATGCTTCCTTGCATTATTCTTACAATAAGTATTTTTATGCCACCCTTCAATTAAATCTCCCAGAGGGTGCCAACCATTTTCATCAGCTACTTCAATGTTCTCCTGGAATTAAAGTAGCCCCAAGCTGACTCCTCCACTGCCCAGTTCCAAAGCAAATGAAGTCAAGCATGGCCAAGGCTAAGGGAAGCATCGTCTGATAGACTCTCTGTCTCGCGAGTGGTAGAGTCAGTCTACGCCACACTCTGGCACCTGCCACATCTGTGTAGACAGGGATCAGTATGCTCCATTGGTCAACTGCCCTGCTGGCCTCTCAGCCTTCAGAGGGTTTCCTCTTGCTCTTACCCTACAATTGTCTTGCTGAAGGTTTCCCAAATAATGTTGCTGGTGACTGACCGAGATGAGCTACATACATCTTGGGAAAGCTGACATGGTGACTTGAGCTTCATATAAAAGGACTTTTGCTTTAATTGTGATGTTTAGCTTATTTTTTAGTTGTTGCTTTGTTAACAGTTTTGTAATTGTTTTCGCTGATGATTTGTTAATTATTCTTTAAGTTTTATGCTGTATTTGTGATGTTCTATTATGTTCTTTCATATTATAATTATTTATTGTTTGTAAGCTGCTTTGGGGTTCATTTGAATGAAAAGTGGCATAGAAATATAATAAATCATATCAAAGTCAAATCAAATCCAGTGCCTGGATAGACCCACCTCCAAGAGCTCAGGTGGCCCTTGGGAGGCTAACTTTGTTGTTGTTGTTTAGTCGTTTAGTCGTGTCCGACTCTTCGTGACCCCATGGACCAGAGCACGCCAGGCACTTCTGTCCTCCACTGCCTCCCGCAGTTTGATCAAACTCATGCTGGTGGCTTCAAGAACACCATCCAACCATCTCATTCTCTGTCGTCCCCTTCTCCTTGTGCCCTCCATCTTTCCCAACATCAGGGTCTTTTCCAGAGAGTCTTCTCTTCTCATGAGGTGGCCAACTAGCCACAGCTAATTAACACAGCCCTTGTCCATTAAGACTAGTAAAGCAAGATTATCCAGTTTAGAGCATTTGAGCAAGCATGGAGATAAAGCAGTACACTTGTATCTGAGCAGTTTACTAATGCCATTTGATAAGCATATTTTATCTTTTAAATCTACATAATAAACTATTTTGTGGTGCTCATTTGTATATTGATGCCTTCTTTTGTCATATTCAGTGCTCATTAAGGCTGTCACCTTCCCACAGCCCTCGTGGATGGAAGCAGATTATAAATCAAAACAAACAATGACGTAAATAAGCAGAATATGAGGACAACACAATTTCAATTTACTATTTAGTCTTGAAATATGGCAGATGTGAAGCATCACCATGCACATTCATGTTGGCTTGTTTTGTCTTATTATATCTGTAGGAATGTGATTTGAATAAATCCAGGTAATTAGAATACGTGATCAGAGTAGCTCCACAGGCTTCCATTGGAAACCTGCATCAGAGGTGAGGGATTTCTTAAGAATGTATGAAGCTGGCAGCCTTTTCTCCTCCTAGACCAGTAGCCTTCAATCTTGTCAAACCCAGGACCCACTTTTAACCCAAACTTGTATTTGGGGAACCATTTCTTAATCTTTTATCGTACACTTGCATGGTGGGTAGTGTTCCTGTTGTGACCTGCCTTGCATCAGACCACAACCCACTGGTGGGTCCTAAACCACCAGTTGAATACCAGTGTCCTAGACCACTGGCCTGTCTAGTTCAGAACTGTCTACAATGTCCAGGGCTCAGGCTGAGAGAGGTCCTTCACAGTCCATCTGTCACCAGAGATCCTTTTAATGGAAGATGCCTGGGATTGAGCCCAGCATGCATGCAAAGCAGATGCCACACTGAGCTACAGCCCCTTCCATAGCACTGAATGGGAGTCATAAGGCAGTGTCACCATAGAATAACATATTTCTGGATCTGCAATTTCCACCACAAAAATGACATTCTTCACTCTTTGTTTTTTGATGTGTCTTTCCCATCTGGTAGCAACCTGTGTGAACTTAGGCTTAAGCACTCCCCACTGTGCCAAGCAGCACAATAGTCTGCAGTGCAATTGCGCAAATGCTGCAGGCACCTATTGGCCTGTGCCTGCGATGTCACCCTCACAGCAACTTGTTTCACTTTTATTTTACATTGTTCTTTAGAAACAGGGTCTCCTCCTTTCCCCATAAAACTGCAGGATAGCGTATGCTACCTCCCTTTAAAACAAAAGCCAAATATAAAAATGGCAACATATATTTCAGAAACACTGGCTTTAACAATTCTGGAAAAGGTTTCGGCAAGCTGTGCACTCCCTGCTCCAGGGTTCAGTGGTACATATCTCCTCTCCCTCCCCTTCTCTCTCTCCCTCTCTCAGAATGGTCCTCCCGCAGCAACCCTTGCCCATTACCCATTTAGCGGGAACCTGAGTAAATGCAACGGTTCCTTTAAAGCACCGTGCAGGAGGAGTATTGCATGTATCTGTGCTAGAGTGCAGTGTGGGGTGGGGCAGGGGAGGAAGCTTCCTTTGAGCACAGAAGTAGATATCTTTTTTTTTAGAAGACTGGATGAGACTTGTCCCTCCAAAGTCACACTAAGTCTACATCTCACCACCTCAAAAGAGAGAGAAATCAATTTTCTGTCTCTCTCTACTTGATGTAAAGAGTCACTTCCTCAGCATTTCACTGCCCCACACCATGACAGAGAGCTTCGGTCCACATTGGCAGCAAATTACCAGGTGGCCCTCAAAGGTGTGTGCCAATTGCCACCTCCCCAGGTTTGCCTCTTCTTTGTGCTACCAGGTGGCAGCAGTGGCGGTAGAAAGTGATGCAGGAGCAAAGAAGCCTATGGCTGGTGGGTCCTTAGGATAGCCTCCTCCTTCTCCTCCCCCCCCCCAGCTGCTCCTGAGTGCCAGCCTCCTCCAGCCCCCCTTTGCCCCCCTCTGCATAACATTCTGGCCAACACGCCTGCCTGGCTCTATATCTTGCACCAAAGAGCAAAGGGAAAATTCTATAAAGTGGAAACCTCAGGTTTATAGTCAATGTATTATGGATATGAGAAAAGCAGGATTAAACAATTATTGGCTTGAACTCACACAGTAAAATTGGTTTATGAGGTAAATTTTAACAAGAAACAAACAGTTAGTGTTGTTTATAGGCCACAGCAAGCTGTAAAGAAATAGAGGCGGCTTTGTAAATGGCACTCGACCCGCTGGCTGGCCTGCCGGGCCCCAAGGGGGAGTCCCCTGCTGCTGGCAGCTGCCTCTGTGGGCCAGGCTCCTCCATTGCCCTGCAAAACAAGGCCAGCCTGATCCCAGGGTTCCTGGGTTAGGGCAAAACACACACTTTTCTGCTAAGGCACAGCTCTTAACAGATTTGGCTCATGCAGTTGATCTGTCAAACCTTGCCTCTGAAACTGGGAGAGCATCTTCTGCATCATTCTTGCAGAATGTAACTTGGCTCACTTGCTTGAGTCATGGGCAGAGAGTGATTTGCTTTGCAGACTTTGGCTCATCTGGGTAGAATCAAAGGCTGCAAGTAGGCACAGGTGGATGAACAAGCAGCCCTTTCACTCAATTACTCTTCGGTGCTGCTCCTGTGAAACCACAAGCCCTCCCTGCCAGCGCAACAGAAAATGGGATATTCAGGAGCAGAACAAGGGCACTGGGTCTAAAGGACACACAGGATGCCCTTATTTCACAACTGCTGTGCCCCTGCCCTGGTTTGGGGGCTTCCCAATGGAGGCATCTGGCTGGCCAGTGTGAGAAGAGGATACAGGACTAGATGTGCCCCTTTGGGCCTGATTCAGCTGCTCAGGACTCTTCTGACGTTCTTAACATGGCCTTTCTGACTAAGCATCATTCACTGTGACTAGTGGTAAAATGTATCCCCAATCCAAATCTGAAATGGAGTTTGCTTCTGCTGAAATCTTTACACACTCACATGTGCATATAATCACTTGACGCCCCAGAGATCAAAAGATGCCATGAATAACCCCCTCTTCTACCACCTTTGCTCAAGGCATGGCAAGGAGTACACCTCTTCAAGAAAAAAACAGAAGCCGTTGCCCGCCACCCTCTGCTTACAGGAAATGGGGCATGGGGGTGGAGAGAGAAGCCTTTTTTATTATTATTAAAGAGGTAGGCAGGCCGTGCTCCCCCTGCAAGCTCTCTGGGGCTCTGAGGTGGCCCTCATGCTCACAGCAGCCCCCCAAAGCCTAGCATTGCTGGAGCAGTGGCAGAGACCCACCAGCTTGCTGGGAAGCTGATCTGTGGGCGGCTGGACACTGAAGGGAAACTCTGTCCCAGCCCCCCTGATGTTCTCCTTTGTTTAAAGAAAGAAGAGAAAGAAAGAGGGCGAGTGGGAGGCGGGGAACCCTCCATCGTTTAGTACAAGTCATTTTACATGCTGGGATAATGAAGTATAAAAATGCCTTCAAAGGCTCCACTTCCTACTTTTAACTCACTACCAGCCAGGCTCTTTGTGAGGCCTTCTGGAACACGCATTCCCGGTCCTGCACAAACAAAAGAACTGCGAATTCATTAAACTATTTAATTATGCCTTTTTATTTTGCTCCATTAGCAAGCCCTGCCAGCGCACAGTAAATAAAGCCGCGATGGTCTTTCCCCAGCAGACACACTGACTGTTTTTAGCCTTTATTCAGTTTACAATGCGGAGGGCGATCGCCCCCTCCTCCACCTGGGCCCTCCTTGGCTTCCTTCCGAGTCCAAGCTCTGCAAAGAGAAAGACCCCAATCCACCCACAGAGGAGGAGGAGGAGGCCCTGGCGGCAGCCTGCCTTGCTCAGCATTGCAGGCACATCCCCAAGCCGCCTTGCAGAGCGCCGGCAGCAGCTGACGGCAGCCACATCGCACTTTACAGCCAGGCACGGAAAAGATATTAGCTTCTCTCTCTCTCTTTTTTTTATACTCTAGTAAATTTGCTTTTTACATCTATTTCTTTTCAGAAGGGCTTGTTATTGAGCTCACTGTCCACAAATTCCATTGATCTCAGGCTGTGACTCAATCCATATGCCCGCGCCTGACACCAGCACAGCAAGCAAGCGATACAAATCCTGTTCAGGCTACAAACTTATTGATTTTATAGATTTCCCCCAAAGTTGTGATAATGATATATCATTGTTAAATTTGGTAGAACAAACTGCTTTCCCAATCTGTCAATGCAAGCATGAAAACCAATTCACAGCCTTGTTTCAGAGGCTTTCCTCCCCTCCGACGGATGACGGCCGCTGGCGGAAGCCCATAGCGAGCAAAGGCCTGGCTGCCGCTGCCAATGCCGCCCTTGGCGTGATGGATGTTGCCTTCCTTGCTGCCCTTTCCTGACCTGTGGCACGCTGGGGTGCCAGACTTCTACCTACCGCCTACAATTACCTTCTTTTATGGGCTCCAGCGGGATCCGCTGATTAGCTATTTAAAGCTGGCAGCACACACAAGCCATATCAATGGATTCTAAAAGTATTTTCCCCTTCTTTTCTTCTTAAAATAAATCTCAAACTTGGTCAGCATGCATTAAGATGACGTGATGATTATTGGTTTTAACAAATAATTTTGGGTCTTTAGGCCCATCCCTCTTTTTGAAGGAGGAGGCAGAACACAGCTATTCATAGGGAAGCCTCATCACTTTTTACTTCAGTACCAGCATAGAAAACAGACGCAGCATAAGTAGAAACCAGACCCAAATTTTGTTAATTGCTCTCCTTCCACAGAAGAAGCAGGCAGGGATCTGGGAAGTGGGTTGCTCTCTGAGGCTTGAGCAGAGTATCACGTGTACAAAAACTTCTGCCTAGTAGTTCCTGTAGGCTGCCTCCAAATACTGCCTGCATATCACAGCCTCCACCAACCTGTTGTCCCCTACCCAGGATGGTGCTGTACTGGTAGGAGTTGCCATCCAAAACATTTAGAGGGCACCAGGATGGCATATTACACATGTAGAGATAAAACAGTTGTCACCATTTTTTCCCTTTTGTTACATAGTACTGAATGCAGCCTCCTCCTCCTCCTCCTCCTCTCTTTGCATGTGAAATACAGAGGCAGCAGCCAGTGACCTAAATGCCTGGCCGGTGCTCATCTCACTCCAAACTTCAAAAGTGCAAAAGTCACCCAGGTAAGGTAGGCTTGTGATATCACAGGAACCAGCCAATCAGTGCTGCACTGCCACCCACCCTTTCCCCAGAACAGTCGAGAAGGTGAATAAAGCTACATGTCAACCTCCTCCTTCTTTTGCCCTTACTAATACTTCTATTGGGTGAGCAGGAGGCCACAAGGCCAGCAAAGGGTCCAGTTTAAGACTGAGTCCATAATTGTAGCCAAAAGGCCTGGCAAGGTTAGATCTCTAGAGCTAAATTTAATGTGGGCTCACTTCACACAAGGCAATTTGGGCTTAATTTGACACAGGTGGGAATTAAAGTCTCTCCCTGCCCCCCCAAAAAACCCCACCCCACTAACATTCTGTTGCACTTTTTGATGTCATTGAGAGCACAACAGGAAGGTCTAAGAGAGCTCCCTAACCCCAAAGAAACCACCACAACTTCAAACTTCACAAGGCCACCACCATTCCAAAAATTCCCTGGTGGTAGTGGCAATGAGGCCTTGTGACTGGCCTTGTGACCTGTCACTGCCATGTCAGGACCAGTCCAGATACCTGCACTAGCCCTGTACCTCTGGGGCTAAAGGGGAGTCATTGGGCTGCCATGTTTGAGGAAGCTGAAGATTCAGGAAATCCAATCCACCATTAATATTACTCCACCAGATTAAGACTCTCCAAGATCAGTGACCCAGTGAATCTGAAAGGCCAGAGCAAAAGGTCAAGTACTGTCTGACAGGATAAGGTATCCATTCTACTCAAGACAGAGGCAGAGCCAACATGTGCTCAGGATCAAGGCCCTGCTAACACCCCAGAAACAGGACAGAGAGCTATAAAGCTCCTAAACTGGTGCCTAGCAGTTGCTGATACAACACCTCGTACTGCTCCGCTCTCAGTAGTTGGACAGTTCCCTTGCTAACGCAAACACTTTGGTCCCTAACCTAGTGGACAGCTCCTCAGCCTTGCTGGTAGGATGAGCCAGATGATCAGGATGCTGCCATTCGGGCTGTGTATACATTCTGCCTTTAAAGCACATTTGAAGTAGATTCTTTCCCTCAAAGAATTCCAGGCACTGCAATTTACCCCTCACAGAGTTACAATTCCTAGCAACTGCTCAAAACTACAGTGCCCAGAATTGAGGGGCAGCGGAAATGTGCTTCTTTTTCTTGAGTCCTAATAATCTTGTCAGAAACCATGGGAACTGCCTCTCCCATAGGTCCTTGTACCCAGGAAATTGCTGTGGTAGCACAAATTTCCCACAGGAAGACCTTCCCACCAGTGATATAGCATTGCCACCGCCCCCACACCCACCCACACACAGAGCAGTATCACAAATGCTGCATTTTGTTATTTAGGTATGAATATTTTTAAGAGCCCTGTACAGGTCTATGTGAACAGAAACTTTTACCAAATGAACAACAAGGAAACAGACAGAAAAAAACTGAGCAAAACCCCAGACTCAGAGAGTTCTGTTGAGCACACATATTTTGATGACTCCTTGCTCATTTGAATTCGGCCTGACAAATGGGTGTCTACAGGTCCCTACAGCTTGCTGTCACACTGCAGGATCTGACTGACAACATCCTTGCTGGATGCAGAATTGACAAGCTGAGCCCCACCCCACTGATCTCACCACATGCCTTCTGCAAGCACCCAATGCATTTGTGCTGTGTATCAATCATAACATTTTTATATTGCTTTTTCCTGTGGCTGTTTCAAAGTACTTTGCATGTGATCCCTCTTTGAGGGCAGGATCACCTTGTTGGTAGCTTCTGTGTTCACCCAAACTCAGCCTTTGCCTCTATAGTTTGGAAAGACGAAAGACTTCCCATTCAACAGGCAGAAGTTTTGCTTCTGCAAGAGGGGAGGGCCTGGCCTGTCTCAGATCAAAATGCCATTTGTCAAAAGCAATTAATCAGAGCGCTCTGATTGTCCTCTGGGACCACCAGCCGCTTCCATTTGCAGGGCGCCCCTTGGAAACTGCCTGCAGTGGTTGTCACCTATTTTAGATACGCTCACAGATGCTGCAATTAGATAAGCAGTAGAAGAGCAAGGAAGACCTTCTCTTTCCTGGCCTGCCCTCAGAATAAAAGCAAGCCAAAAGAAGAGGGCTACTGATAATTATTGTCCTGGTCCGAACGCAGAGGCGCCTTCACACAGAAGGATGGCTTCCTTTCTCTCCAGCATTTGTTCAACTCCTCTGGGAGGGGCAATTTACAAAAAGCATTATCGATTTTTGCCATAATAGGTACAGAGACGTGTCGTCGTCCCCGTCCCCCGTCCCCCCCGCCTGCTCAGCCAGCTCACTCTCTGCATCCCAACTGCCAGGCCATTATTTTCTCTCAGGCAAATCTATCATCTGAGTGGGGAAAGGACAGTGATGGAGAAAGAAATAAAAATTATTTTCACCTTGCCGTACGAAATAATGGCCACGTTCGTGCCAAATCAGGAGGTTACAAGAGTGAAGAAGAGGCTTCAAAGCATCTCAGGAAGAAGAGAGCCGCCACCCGCTTCAGTAAAGACCCCCACTATTTTGTTTGAATGTATCTTCTGCTTTTAATGCAGAGATTCTTCCAGACTTTCCAGCCATTCTCCACATTCGCACTCTGCCTCTGACACGTTCACTGGCTTTTTCTTTGCCTTTCGGGGTAGGGTGTGTGTGTTGTGGAGGTGCAGAGGAGCACAATTATTAAGCATCCTTGATCTGCGGGATGGAGCCTGCCTCTAAAGCCCCTTCTGAATACAGACCACCCACCCTCTGCAGAGATTAGCTGTGGCTCCCCCATTGTGTACAGAACAGTTGTGGGGGAAAGAGAAGAGAATTTCCACTCCCAGTTTACCACTGGCCACCAAACGTACCCAGTCTCCTGGCAAAGACGGAGGGGTCCTTACTTCAACTGTGCAGGAAAACAGAAATGCTTGTTTTTAAAAAAAAAAAAAACTAACACCCACCCCCATAAGTTTGTAGGCAGACTGGTTTGCTATTTGTGTTGTTTCCCTGATTCATCAGTGCTACATCCTGCCCAGCTTTTTCTGGGGCTCCAATCTTGACAGAGTGAACATACATACGCATGCACTTGCTGGGGTTCGGAGTTGCTATTTGCTTTTGATTCCAAATGTAATTCTGAAAGACAACCTTATTTGGGGGGCCTGGAAAGACTTTAATGCATGAATTGGCTCTGGATCTAATGCCCGGATCCTCTGCTCATTAAGGCATGAAAAGCGATCCGCTGCTTCAGAGCTGGAAGAGACATTGTTCCAAAGGCAGCCCAGGGAAGTAGCACAATTAGCCAGCCTTTTGCATAAAGCCAGGCCGCCTCTGGCAACAGCGCAAGCGGCTCAATAGCAATCAAAGGACCTCATTGAAAAGCAACAGCAGCAAGTTTGCTCTCTGCAAAGAGGAAGGAATTTGTGAAGTTGGTTGCCAAGTGGTGCTTTCTGTAAGGGCACTTGTCGCAAAAAGACAAACCACGCTCACCCTACTTGAAGGAAGGAGGGGAGGAAGGGAGGCGCTTAAAGGGACGCAGCACCCCTCTCCCCACCACCACCACCTTGGTTACAAGCATTTGCAAACATGCTCCGGGATCTGAGGAAGAATGCCGGGGAATTATTCCAGTTGCTGGGAGACACGAGTGGGGAGCGTTGCCGTTGTGCTCAGCATGGCAAAGTTCAGCTCTCCCTTTAAGATTGCTCAGTCTTCCCCCATCTGCCATCATCTGTAAATGGAGGAGTCAAGGGCTGAGGAAAGACCATCACCACCCTGTTTCCACCTTGATGGCCCATCTCTGGCTATTAGTATTATTATTATTATTATACCCTTAACAGCTTGGGACCAGTTTGCCTACCCTTACCCCACCCATGCCCACCCAACCTCTTCAGTCAGCAAAATAGGCAGTACTACAGGTGCCACATTATACTCATTCTGCCTTTGTAAGAACTTGAATCGTTTAATGTGGCAGCTCCTACACTTTGGAACTCCCTGCCTATTGAGAACAAGCAGACAATATCACTGTACTTTTCAGCACCTGCTAAAAACATTCCTGTTTAGACAAGTCTACCCAGATACTTAGAAAGTTGACATATTAACAACCTGTTTTAGTATTTTAACTTTTGTATGTTTTAAAGTATGGTTGTGACTTTTTCTTGATTTAACCATTTTATCTTTTGCAAACTGCTTTGAGGTTGTTTCTTCTAAGTGGTGTATAAATTTGATGAAATAAAATAAATGAAATAAATATTCTGCCCTTCCTCCCAAAAAAGCCCAGGGTGGCAAGCACACTCACAGAATATTTACTGAAGTCCTCTGGAACTAATATCATGGAGTTCTCCACCATCATGCCACAGACCTCCCTTGCCAGCTCAATCCAGGATGTGGTTGAACTGCAGGATGGATGGTCCACCAAGATCCCTGATCTGTCTCTGCCACACCTCTCTCTCACCCCTCCAACCTTGACCTGTGCTGCCCTGAATGCCCAGGCAAGTAAAGCTTGGTATGATCAGGACTCTCCAGCTCACTCACCTAAGTCTCTATAATACATACCAAATCAGCCCAATCAAATTGTGGATAAAGGCTATTTTATTATGGACTGACCTAGCAAGTGTAACAGCACCGCCAGTTGGGAGAGCAAACCAGCATGGCTACTGAAGTTTTGGTTGCAGTGAGGCTGAGCAGGGGCAACAAGTGTCAAGTGTCTACTCCCCACTCTTCTATATTGCATACCCTACACATTCCATACCTCCAGTTCCCTAGAACTCTAATCTTCCCACCCCACTGTTCTCAGGCACATGATGCTATTATCCCCCCCCCTTGGGTCGCAGGGTAACTGTTCAGTCCCTCAACAATATTACCACCCACCAAGTATCCTTCATATGTACTCATGAATAGTTTTCATGCTATCACCAGATCACCATTTGCCATCCTTCTGCCTCTCACCAGGAGGCTGGGTTTGGTACATTCACACCCTCCTGGTTATTCCTGGTTCTCACACAGGAATCAGTCCAACCAGCAGTTAGCCATACCAGGGGATAGCATCCTCTGCCGTGTCTCCTGAAGACAATCCCAGAGGACATTGCCTTTGGTGTTCACTGCTGCCCAAGGCAACATTCACTGTAAGCCTCTGTGGAGTTGCTGGTCCAGGCACAGACGTTAATGGTCAAGGATTTCCCCAAAGAATACTGGGAGCCATCACTTACCCCTCACAGATCTGCAATTCCCAGCACCCTTAACAAACTACAGTTCCCATGATTCTTTATGGGCAGAGAACCAACAGTTAAAGCGGTATAAGAGTGCTTTAAATGTACAGTGTAGAGGTTACTATAAACTGCAGTTGGAAATAACAAGTAGATGGCCAAAAAACAAACATGCTCATTTTCTCTACAATTCTGCTTTTCGCCGAGTTCTATATAGTTTCCTGGATCAGAATGTGAGCTCCTCCAAGCTCCCTAGAAATGCTGGCAAAGAAGCAGAGCTCAAACTAGTTTCTTTGCCAAATGTGCAGTAATTTTTGCAGCAGTGATATAGGCCAGTAGGAGAATCAACTTATCTCCACTGTCCTTTTGTGTTGGTGCACCTTCTGTCCTGCAAGAATCGGCAACTTGCCATGAGTCAGCTGCAAAACAGGCTGCCTTCTGTAGCAGAAGAATTTTGCTTTGGTGCAGCAACAGCCAACGCTGTGGCAGAGCATGTGGCTCCCTTGTGTTTCCCGGGCTGAGCCAATATTCCACTACACTTAATTTATACATATGTTCAAACACATGCACACACACCCGAAAAAAGATGAGCACACAAAACAGAGGCCCACGTGCTGCTGCAGTTCAAATATAGCAAGGAGTAAAAAAAGAAGCAGCTCCCTAGAGGCAGGCAGGTTGGGCATGCTTGAAAAACCTCCTTGCCTCTATTTGGGGGTTATTTATTAAATATATGACAACACCGTCATACGGGTGGCAAATCCTTTCAAAATATTATTTTATTTGGCAGCATCTGGAAACAGGCAAGACCTTTCTTCTCACCTACCCCATTTCCTTTGTTGTATAATGTAAGTTGTATTTTTATACGCCATTTATAATTTTACAATTTTGTAATTTTACCCAGTTCATTTATTCCTGATATTTTATATTTCTTTTGACTTTAACACAAATAGTTGTATTTATGTTGTATTTATATTATTTTGTTGTTAATGTCCATTTTTTCTTTTTTGTGAGTACTGTCTTTTTTTGTTGCTTAGAAAAGTAACAAAAAATTAAAAACCCCACTGATGGAAAATTGCCTGTGTCCCCCTTGTTTTATGTGGGAATGCTGTAAGCTAAGTTAATGTTCCCCTCCTGAAACAATCTCAAGGACTTGTGAGATTCCCCATGTGTTTTAGGAACAATTTCCAGTTCTTTCTACACTCATGCCTCCAGCTTTTTCCTTCTTCTGCCTCACTGGATTAGCAAAGGAGGAGGACAGCAAGGACAGAGTGAGAGAGTATAAGGCTGAGTCCTTGAGCAAGCTGGGCTCTCCACAGAAACTGTGCCACCAGTGGAGTCAGGCATTCCCCCTCCTCTACCTGGAAAGTTTGTTGATGCTTCAACAACAACAGCAACAACTGAATGGAGATCAATAAAGGCTGGAAGTATAGAAAACATGTTTTTTAAAGGAATCATGATCCAAAAATATACCAGCACGACAAGGTAGAACTAGGGCTGCCATGTTTCCGGATTTTCCTGGACATTACTGGAATTTCAAAGGCAGAATTGACAGGTGGCGCTTTGTCCTGAAAATTGTGTATCCGTAAAAAAAAAAAAAAAAGCTCAACAACTTTCGGAGTGTCCTGGTTTTTACAAGGCCAGGCGCCGTTGCAAGCGGCAGTTTCCTCTGTGTTAGTGGTACAAGGGTGCTTAACATGAACATAAAACAAATTAACTCGAGAGCATTCAAACAAGGCACAAAACACAATTTGTAGCATAATGAGAGGCCTGCCTGGGCATCCACAATGTTGGTGCGGCTGAGCCAGATTTGGCCAGCTGCCACAGTGGGGGTGGAGATGCAGAGGATATAGGGCAGGGAGAACATCACTTTGGGGCCTGCTACCGAAATCCCTGTCGCTGTTCACTCTGCTCTCAGCTCAGACGCAGCCTGACGGCTTTCTCAATGGTTCCCTGTGGGCTTCCTTCCCTCCAGGTCCTATGGGGAAGCCAATTCTTCCAATGGTTGGCACTGTAACTCATTCAGTAATCTGGAAAAAACTAGGAGTCTTTGTACGTGTCACATCATAGCCATGAGGAAGTCACCACGTCATACCCTGCAAGTGTCCCAGAAAAACTGGGACATCTCATTTTTTTATCGCGCGAGAATGGCAGCCATTTTGGTAGCCGTGATCTTGTGCATTTTCCTTCTGAAAAAAGCACTTGGGGGGCTGCACCTTTGGGGGGGGTGAGCGCAAGGGGCTTCAAAGCGTCCTACAGTCAACCACAGAATCTTAAACCAGAGTCCAACAATCAACCATAAAAAGGAGAGGGAAAGAGAGAGAGTGTATCCCTTGAGCACCTTATAGCTCTATACCTAGCTGAGGAGAATCTCCCTTCTGAGGAGAATCTCCCTGCGCTTTTTGGGTAAACATGTGATTATTTGGAAACACCTCAATGCTTTTCAGAAGATTTTCCCTCCCCCTTGCTTCCTTTGGGGATCCAAAACAAAATGATCCTGTTTCCATTTTATCTATGGCCCATGGGGAATATATTAAAGGCCAATAACTGTCTCAAGCTATGAATTTGAAAATCCAGAGAGCACACTCTTTCCCCAAAGTTTATTCTAGCACATTTCTAATAAGGCTCAAGGAGAGGCTACGCTGGCATTGTCAGTCAAGCAAATCAACCTTATTCAACTGGTATTTTGGAAGCTGTCTTACCTTACTCTCTCTTCATTGCTGCTGCCTCCATCGGCCAGCACTGTGAGGACAGGCCTTCTCGGAGCGCCACAGTGCTACATGGGCAGGCCTTTTCTGGGCAGAGCAGCACCACAGAGGCAGGCCTCCTTAGCTGCTCAAGAGAAGACACGTGGATCCTGGGACACTCCCAGATCCAATCAGAAGCCGGGGCGGATTCTTTAAGATGTGATCTCTCAGTAAAAGCAGGACAGTTGAGTTCTTGTTGTCTTATAATGGCAATGGTGCCCACCTGAGCGGTACCGGAACTGGGTTCCGGCTGAGAAAAAAAGCCCTGCCACCATGTGACACTTTATATGAAAGTACAGTTTATACACATTTAATGAATAAAAATAAATAAAATTTAGTTGGATACTGCTCTGAACCCACAACCATGCTGGCTTATTGGGGCTGCTGGGAGTTGTAGTCCAAAATAACCAGAGGGCTCCAGGTGAGGGAAGGCTCCAGGGACCCCATGAGGAGTTACTGGATTTAACTCAGAGACCCTGATCAAAGAAGAGATGAGGAAGCGTTTAATCCAATTAAACACTGGCAGCAGCAGCCTCCAGTCAAGGAATGGATGTTAGATGTGACCATTCTCTGTATATTTAATGCAGTTATAAGAGTGTGGTGTGGATATGAACAGCAATCAATATTTACCTCACAACTAAGATGATGCAATTCTGGGAACTCTTATTGTTGTTATGGGAAATTAAGCTTTAATTAGAGCTGAAGGAAAGAAAAAAACCCCCCATAAGTGAATCTTTCAGGGAAAGCATCACGGGTGAAGAAAACGAGATAGTCTATTGTGACCACAAAGGACTCTGTGAAGAACATCACCACCTTTAGACTGGCTTTTTTGACAGAAATTCAAGGCTTCTTGGCCTACGTGGGGCTACTACAACTACAACTAATCCAGAATGCAGCAGCTAGACTGGTGACTGGGGGCGGCTGCCGAGACCATATAACACCTGTCCTGAAAGACCTACATTGGCTCCCAGTACGTTTCCGAGCACAATATAAAGTGTTAGTGTTGACCTTTAAAACCCTAAACAGCCTGGGCCCAGTATACCTGAAGGAGCGTCTCCACCCCCATCGTTCTGTGCGGACACTGAGGTCCAGCGCCGAGGGCCTTCTGGCGGTTCCCTCACTGCAAGAAGCAAAGCTACAGAGAACCAGGCAGAGGGCCTTCTCAGTAGTGGCGCCCGCCCTGTAGAACGCCCTCCCATCAGATGTCAAAGAGATAAACAAGTACCTGACATTTAAAAGACATCTGAAGGCAGCCCTGTTCAGGGAAGTTTTTAATGTGTGACATTTTAATGTATTTTTAATCTTTGTTGGAAGCCGCCCAGAGTGGCTGGGGAAACCCAGCCAGATGGGTGGGGTACAAATAAATTATTATTATTATTATTATTATTATTATTATTATTACCAGCTGTGCCACTACGAGGCCACTGTCTCCACACTAGAGATATGCTACCCTCAGAAACCATTTCCCTCTCCCATCTCAACCTGCTGCCCGCCCCCCGCCCCCAAAAGAACTCTAGCAAAGCAACACCAAGGGTTTTGCTAACACTACCGGCACATAATGGAATCAGACAATTTGTAAAGTGCAAACAGAAAGAAGGGAGAAGGCCTCTTGTGCATATTGTTCGTTTTTGGCTCATCAAGAATCAAGATTTAAGGGGAGGGGAACACAAAGGTTTGTTTAAAAACTTTTATTAAACCTAAGAACATCTGGCCAATCAAATTTACAGCAGTACAAAGAGAGCTATAAAAGTGCAATTCTTATTAAAGAATTATGGTTCAAGATATCCATTCTGGAGCCTTGAGCAAGAAGTTAAAATGGGGGTTCAAGGATCCAGCTATCAGAGCTTTCCCTTCAAAAGGCTGGAAGCTGACGTCTAGCAGGTCTGCCCAGTCAGCAGCATGGAGTGACCCAGGCATGCCCCCCCCCCCCGCAAAGCCCTTTGCACCTTCACAGGGGCTCCACTCTTGAATTAGGACCAGCTGCTGCTCTTAAAGAAAAATATAGTTCTGGTGAAAACTGCCCTGTGAGATGGCCCAAATAGTTGCCTGATAAAAGCAAGTGGCATGAGGAGTAACAAAGTTATTTGGGACTTGGCATGTTTAGAGAGGAGGGCATTTCATCATTAAGAAAGATAGCAAGCATTCAACAACACAGTTCCCCTCCCAGTGAGGACAGGAAGGTGATGGAGCAGTCCTAGGTTCCCTTTTGCCCTTGGCAAGGAGCTGCATCAGGTCTTCCGAAGCTAGCAGGGACCATGGACCAGAAACTCAAAAAGTTTGCTTTTGTTCCCTTTCACGATGTCTTCCTCTGTGGCCCTTGGGGTTGGGTCTGCTCTGCTCCGCCTCCCCTACTCCTCCTCCAACAGTCCACCTATCTGCCTGTCTTCCTCCGCTCGCTGCTTTCCCTTCTGTCTCCTCCCTCCCTCCCTTTTTCCTCCTCCTGCAACTCTCACCCAGTCTCTCCATCTTTCTTCTCTCTGAGCCCCACCCCGTGGAGCACTCCACTCACATTTCTAATACCACTGCTGACTGACTGAGGAGGCCCCGCATGGATGTTGTGATGGCCCATGCCAGTGCCCGGATTCATCTGCTGAGGTGCCCAGAGGAACCTGTACCCCACTTGGCCGCCCCAAGCATTGGAGGAGCAATCCAGGGAACACGTGAAGAGGCGAGCAGGCTCCTAGCTACTCCAAGCCAGAGTGGACGGCCAACTTGGCCAACTTCTAGCTACACCTCTGGATGGGAGTTAGACATGAGGAAAGGAAAGGAGGACTTTGAAAGTGGACATTGCAGTAAAGGCAGACATTTCAGTCGGGATGGAGAAACACAGCCATTTAATTAAATAATAATAATGAAAATAAATAATCCTAACAGCTATAAGTATTCAGGATCAACAGACTACTGTAGTTCAAAATGCACAATAAAAAGGTAACATCTTCAGTATGTTAAATCATTTTTTAAAATCTCAGAAAAGCAATGCAAACATACATCTCCTGCCCATCATCCAGAACTGTCTGCTCAGGGCTGTGACGGCTCTGTAATAGAACAGTTCTGTTGTGTATGCACATGCGACTCTTGTGCCTCCTCCTGAAATTGGCATCCAGTATAAGGTACCCAGAGTACTTCCAGACCGTCAATTTTTTCAAGTAAGATTTAGTCACATACGGGCAAATTCAGGCAAATTATAGTTGTTTGGCAGATTTTTCACACGAAACCCACTTCCCCCAAATATTGGGCTTTTTGCAAGAAGTTAAGCAAGAGCCAAACACACCCTGAGTATGCAATAACACTTGCTGAAGGCTCACTAAATAGTCAACATCAGTGCTTTTTTCTGGGGGGACGCAGGGGGGCGCATACCCCTAAACATTTTGTGAATCTAAGTTTGGCCTCATTGAGGGGCAGTATTTCAATATGAGTAGGAAAATGAGAGTACCCCTAAACATTTTTTAAGGAAAAAAAACACTGGTCAACATCATCTAAACTCTCTGCAAAGAAATCAGGATGAATGCTCAATAAATAGGTCATCTGGAAGCACACACCCCCAGGCAATCTGCAGCAGAGTAGAACCCTCTGAAACTTGAAGTCTTTTTGTGAAGATCTCTCTCAGGGCTGCAGGACACACCATACATACAGCATATTTAAAATCACATGACTTCCCCTAAGAATCCTGGGAAATGTAGTTTCCTCATCACCCTTAACAAGTTTGAGCTGAAAGAAGTCATTGATCTGCTGCCTCCCCCACAACTCTACCAGAGGAACAACAGCTGAACTATAAGAGGGGCAAGGAAACTGAGACCACCACAGAACTGACTGAGGGCCTTGCTGCTTATCAGCCACTTGCCCAGGGATCTGGAGATCTCTCAGTCTCTGGCTAAGCTTCACATACGCACTCTGTTCAAATCCTTCTGCACACCTGAGCTACAGCTGGACGGGACTTTCTTGGTAACTCTTGCAAGACTTAGCAATTAGCATCTACCACACCTTTCACAAGCTTCCTGACCTGAGACGATAAGAAGACAAAAGAGGTTTGGACATTTCTTTGGGCTTGTGAGCTGTGGGGACAACAGTAGCTTTGGCTAAGCATCTCAGCCAAACTATAGCAAGTGGCTTGCAGGACAAGCCAGAGGTTAGTTGTGGGCCTGCAAATAACCCAAGCTTTCCTGACACACACACACCACATTCCTTCCCTGCCTAGGAAAGTTAAATCAAAGGAAGCAGTTACCTCAGCTGTTGAGGTTTGGGAGATATCTGAGCACCCACAGGAAGTATGACGGCCACGTGTTTTCAGTCGCAGGTGTTCATCCCTGCAGAATGGGGTGCCTGGGACTTCAGAGTACAAGTTCACCTCTCACATCCTTCCTGAAGAACTAACTGCAAGCCATGCTCAGCTCATAGGAGGGCCAGCAGCAGCAGCATGCAATCAGGAACGCCTCATCCCTTCCAAAGAGAGGGAAAGCCCCAACTCAGTGCCTCCCCTCCCTGCCTCCCCTATGAGAGTCAAGACATAGTAGTCCCATTTTTTTTTATCGGCACTGGTGCAAAAACACCCAGAATATTCTGGGGAAGCACACACGTCTCCCTTGGAAAGGAGAGGAGACGAAGAAAAGGGGATTCATACTTGGAAATTAACAATGTCAGCCTGTCTTCATATCTCAAACTAATTTGAAAGGGCTTTAATTTTCATAAAGGATAAAAAAAGGTTTCTTTGCTAGATTAAACTTGCAATTGTCATTCATATATTGTTTATAAGGTACTCATCTCCTCACTCTGTATTTTTTTGTTTTTGATTTTGTATACTAGTTAGCAGTGAAGACTTGTCTGCATGTATCAGAAGGAATAAAGAGCGAAATGTCCTTAACTGTCAGTTTTAATAAGAGGAGTCAACGTGCCTCCATTCAGGTTAAATATTGCCCTGTCACATTTCAATAGAGTCAACAGATTTTTTAAAGAAAACTCAAAAGCACAGTGTGTGCAGAAAAGGAAAAATATCTTCCTTGTCATTGAGTGTCAAAGCCCTGTTTTATTTGGGGCGGGGGAGGCTTTGGGGAGGTAGGACAGAAATTTCTTTTGTAAAATGTGAAAAATTACCACTCATAATTGGTGCTGACATGAAAAGGGGCTCTTTTTGTTAGAAAAACAAAGAAGATCTCTAATTTAATAATCACCTGCAAAGGGTTATTGTGATGGGAACAAAACACACACAATCAAAGTCATCTCTTTTAAGTAACTATATTATTCTTAAGCAATCAACTGCATTGACTGTGGCTCTGAGGAGGCACCAAACGGGGGGAGAGAAAAAGCCCAAACTCACAGAGGGAAGGTTTCAGAGATGAGATGTGTCCGGCCCGTTATGAAGAGAAGGGACTGCTGAAAGAGCCTCCAAAAAGTCATTTGACAGAGATATACTTTTAAATTAGGGTACGTGCAGCTTGTAGGTGCACTCCTGACTCCCATTTAGAAATGGCTGGTGCCTGAATAGCAGGCAAAACAAGCTCTTGCTCCAATCTGGAACTTTGAAGATGGGACACCAAAGATGTTTTCACATCGTATTTTTAAAAAATGTGGTTTTGAAGGATGCTTTAGGACTAACCCTGCTCAGAATTTCAAGGCAGTAATATGGATTACCAGTTTCTTAAGTTCAACACTTTTTCAGAAGGAAGGGGCTGGGGCTCCAGGCTGTCCTCTAACCTGAAGTGGTAGAAAGCTACATAGAGGATCAGAATATAGGTGTGCCAAGCTCAGAGTTGGCACTGAGGGGCAGCAGCTTTCGAGGGTTTCAGTCAAGGGATGTTCCCAGCCCTACCTAGAGATGCTGCCAGGGATTAAACCTGGGTCTTCTGCATGCAAAGCAGGTGCTCTACCCACTGAGCTACAGACGCGAAGCACAGAATCATAGAATGATAGAATTGTAGAGTTGGAAGGGACCTTGAGGGTCATCTAGTCCAGCCCCCTGCAATGCAGGAATCTTTTGCCCAACAGAAGGCTCGAACCCACAACCCTGAAATTAAGAGTCTCATGTTCTAATGACTGAACTACCAAAGCACTGAGCAAATGCACTCTGCACAAACCTAGAGGCACGTAATAAAAATGCCCAACTCATGTCAACAGAAACAGTGGCTCTGACAAGCATCAGAAAAGTTCAGTGCCTGGTACAATTGATTCTGTGGAGCCAGCACTAAGGGAAAGACCGTTCCCATAAACTTGGGGGATACAGAATATTTGCCCAAAAGCCGAACATCTGTAAAGCCGGTTTCTCCTCTGGCCTCCACAACAAATCCCTCATAATATCCGTAATGCTGGAAAAATTTCCTTTTAGCTCAGGTAACTCACATCCCTAAAATCCAGGTGGCTCCCTGGATTGTGTTTTACAAGCCACCTGCAGGATGCCAACAGCTCGTGCCAGAAACAGGCCCGTTTTCATGAAACCACTCTGAGCTTTAATCAGTGAAACTGAATCCTGCAGGGTGTGAAATGAAAAGAGGCCCGGAGGAAAAGCAGAGAGACGCCACTGCATTGGTGCCCCCTGCCTGGGCATCTGCTTTGGAGGGGCTTGGCAAGCAAGCAAGGGGGACAACTGGAGAGGCTTCTTCGTCCCTTCAGCAAGCTGCTTTGCCACAATTTACACATTCGGCAGGCAGCACTGTCCTCCCCCCCTCCCCGCTCTGCTGTTGCTCACCTTCTCCACACACAGGCTGCCTGCCAAGGGAGATCAGGCTGCAAGAATCACGGACGCTCACGGCTGGACGCTCCAGAAACAGGAGAGCATTGTCTTGCCAGATCAGACCAGGGCCCGTAATTCACAAGCAGAGAAAGAAGGAGAAAGCCACCATTCCATTTTTGTTTCCCCCCATGTTCTGATCTTCAGAGGCAGATGGACTGCCTTTGAGTGTGGAGGTTCCATTTTATCTTTCATTTTATTTTAAATATTTGTATACTGCCTTTTATTGAAGGATTTTAGGGCAGTGTACAACATACATCCACCAAAATACATCAAAAGAATAACTGGACCACCATAAGAAAGGCAACAACAAAATAAAATTTAAAAAATCAGAGACTAATCCAGATAAGACCATCTGGGCAGAGGACAGGAGGAGAGATTGTTTGATTCAAGATGGCAGAGCAAAATGTGACTTTGGCATGACTGCCCATTTTCTGGAGTGATGGATCCAATCTCATAAATTACACTATCCATTAAAAACAACAACACATTTGGGGGGGGAAGGGGTTCTACAAGTTCCTGGGCAGAACTGGGCACTCCCTGCTGGTGTAATATGAACATTTAAACCAAATATAAGAAACCAAAACAGAATAAAACCTAGAAACACATCTATACATATGAAAGAACTAGGCCTAATACATCCCTTCCCACTAAAAGAGGCCAATTCAAACTTACGCCATAAAATCTCCTAAATGCCAGGCAACCTCTATGGTGGGGAGGGTTTCAAAACCAGAGTGTCAGTGTCAAAAACCCATCTCCCTGCAGATGGCCTCTACGCCTCTGGTGGAGGGAGAGGTACTTGGAGAGGGGCCTCAGTGGAAGAGCTTAAAGCCCACTGCCTCAAAACATTCTTAAAGCAGACCTGCTAGGGAAGCCTTGTTCCCAAATTGGAGAGGCGTGTGCTGTGCACAAGCTTAGCCACAACCGAAGACCATCTAGTGAACCTGCAGAGATTTGAATGGGGAACTTCCTGGTTCCCAGGTCATTTGTATCCACCACCCAACTCCTGCCAGCTGTGCTTTGTGAATATTCATCTCACCGTGTGGCTCTGTACATTTTCCTTGAGAGTGACGTCACCGTATGCAGACAACAGAGGTTTTGCAATTTAATCCTCACAAGACACTATGCATTAATCTCTAAGAGGCTCCAGTCACATCTGTTAACCCAAAGGGCATAACATCAAGATACTATGATCCTTTGTGACGTACAAAAGTAGTTATTAATTTGCACTCATTATCTAAAGTCATTTGTCAGTAGCCTTTAGATAAGTGCAAAGTGCTCACATTCCAGAGAAAATGCAAGGAATCATTGATGGGCAAGTGGCTTCAGAGGTGGCATCATTTAATGCTGCCAATTCATGCAGAGCTAATGTTTACCCAAGGACTCAGGATTAATTAGAGCTGAGCTGGCAAAAGGGTGGATTCTTATGCCATCCCAACCTGTGGCAACTTCAGGAAAAAGCCAGCCTGGACTTACTTCAGACCCTGGCAGAAAGTCAGGAATTCAACTCTGATATGCTATGATTGACATATGTCAGAGGATGGTATTGCCACGCAGCAAGTCTAAAACTGAAGGTTTGATTTACATGTTTAATGTGTTTTTATCTTATGCTGGTCTACTGTAACTGAGAGTATGTGTATGTGTACCTTCTACTTCTGCAGTTGCCCTATTGTCTATCTAGCATGTTTTATTTATGTATGGAGGTATTTTTTTCTTATGCTGGTCTATGACCGTAATAAATAATTGGATTGGATTGGACCCCAATACGGTCTCTGTACGCCAGTCTGGATAGAGGAGGGAAGGAGAACTTATGCATATTGGGACACCTCCACAGAAAAAGCGGGGGGCAGCACCACTTTAGCTGTGGTCTTTGCTGCCCAGTTCACTCTCACATGCTTACATCATTCCTATTTGGAGCAAACTGTCTGAGGCATCTCCACCACCTTCTGAATGCAACAGCAATATGACTGAATCATCACGATGCTTTACTGTTGGCTTGGTCCATTTGTATCCATAATGTAAACTCATTAGCGCGATGGCAAATATCCAACGCAACTTCAGAATGTGTCAGTAGTGCAAAGGGCCTACTGCTGCTCCCATTTCCTAGTTGTTGTATGAAACACAAGCCAATACTCAGCGTCACTTACAATATCAGGAAGCTCTCTGAGCTCATTTTTCATCCATGACCCCAGAAGCTCTTAGGCCAGCCCTGAGTGGCGAAGAGGCTTGGCTTTAAAACCCTCCCTTATACTTTCAACAACTGCTCCCTTACAAATGTATTATAACCCCTGTCATTTAGCTGGCTCAAGAATGTGGCCCACATCACAGCAGAAGCCACAATACTCCCCCCCCCAGCTGTTGGGCTTTGTGTTGCACACAAAACGTGGAGTGTCTTCTTGAGGAATAATGGTTTTCAAAGCTTGGCAACAATCTCTTCATCTCAATACTCTCTCCCTCTCTCTTTTTACACCTTTCTGCCCAGGTAGAGATTCTCAGTGGGAACTCTAATTGGGTAATTTGATGTTGACTTGTATCCCCTGCTGACCCTGGGGGGTCAAGGCAGCCCTGCCATCTGGGACTCCAAATGATGCTGGATGTCCCTTCCAAAGTGCTCTGGCCTCCCTGATAAATCTCTGTGATTAGACAGTTTCTGCTATCTCTCTTTAAATAAAATGTTTTTTAAAACCACCAGGAAAAAAATATGTCTTCAAAACAGGGAATTCATTTCTGGTGATAAAATACACTTGTTTGTTTTAAAGTGACAGAGTCTACATGTGCAACAAATGTATATATATCAACACGAATAAAGAGAATGTTCAGTTTTGCCAATATTAAACTAGCTCTGTTTTGTTTTTTAATTAATACACCAATAGGTTCTTCAGAGGAGATAGGCTACCAGTGTCATTAACTGGCAAGACTACAGGGAAGAGGAAGAGGAGGAAGAGGATCCCAGCAAGGGCTATTGCCAGTGCCGGATTTATGTATAGGCTAAGTAGGCTGAAGCCTAGGGCCTCTAAATCTAGGGGGCCTCGCCAGCCCTCCCGCACCCCAGCGGGCAGTTTCCCCTCTCACAAAATTGTAAACCCAAGACTTCATGCAAGGGCAGGGCAACTCAGGCCCAGCAACTATGAGACTCAGGGTTACCCAGTGGGGCCCAATTTGAAGCAGTGGGGCACAACTTGATTTTTTGTTTTTTGTAGGGCCCCAGTTCACAGCCAAAGTCTGCAAAATCTTATATATATAAATAAAATCCATCTAGATTGCCCTGGTGCAGGGGCCCTCTTAGGAGCGGCCTACGGGGCCCAATTTGGCCCAATTGCTCCAATTTTCTTAAGGTCAGCCCTGATGAGACTGTGCAGGGGACTGGACTGACAAGCCCTGCACCTTCTAGGTCCCTGGCGTCACCATTCAGACTCAAGGACTTGTTATGGAAATGAAGGTGGGGCACATATTGGAAATCAGTTTTGTCACCTCTTCCCCCCCCCAAACCCTGAGACATTGAGCCCAGCCACCTTTTATTCACAGTCACATAAGCACTACACTACAGCATGGCCATAAACTTGTATGTTCAACCTCTGAAATATACACCCAATATGTAGCAATGGAGATTTATGTTACTGCTTTATGAATGAACACTGTGTTTTATGAATGGACTCTGTATTTTGTGAATTACCTAAGAGCCACCAATAGAGAGCTCTAGAATCTGACAGCTAACCAATTGGGTACTACCAAACAGCGACCTCTATTGCTGAAAGCAGGTAACCAGCAGGTAATGTTTCAACTCAGCCTTTGCACTGTTGATTAAACACCCCCTGCTGTGCAGATAATGGAGAAAGATCATAAATTGTATCCCTTCTGGCATCCTGACCAACTCTATTACCCAGGTGCACCAGAAGCACAGAACAGCAGCAAATAGAATCCGCTCATACGCCAGCAACTGATAAGACTGGTCATCCAGTTCTTCCAAAGTCTTCCTAAATTATTATGCTCCAAAATACAGGCCAAAAGAGAGCAGGTCTGGGAAGAGCAAGGCATACAATGGTTACCACCAGTGCAAAGGCCCTGCTCTGTGTAACTCCTGCCCTGTCATTTGAAAGAGTGCCCACTTGCCCTCCTTCTTGACATGGAATGCTCTCTATTGGAGTCTCTGGGTCCAGTACAAAGACCATAAGAAGGGAGAGCAGGGACCTTGAAGTTCCCAACAGCTGTTAATCAAGCAAGCAAGCAAGCACACAGGTCACCTTTGTCACAGTCAGGACACCTATGTCCTGGCCAGGCCTGTACCCAATCTTGTTTTTGTACCATCTTGTTTGTCCTCAGTAAC